ATAGAAGATTGGATAAACTTGGGTTTCATTGATGAAAAGCGTTATCCGTTGCCAGCTAGCGTTTTCGTACCAAGATATCGACCCGAAGACGAAATATTACATCTCGATGACGAGTTCTTGAACAAGCTGTTCGTTTGGACTAAAGCCGCTGTTTTTGATTACAATTATAATAAAAAATTGTGGAGTATACTCACACTTGACGGCACAAAACGGGAATTCGAGATACCGAGAATTTATATTCGATTCTTTGCTGAAGATCCCAGAATTATCAAAGAAGATTCTAAGCTTTACGCGAAAAGAGTGATGACGGCTGTCGAACAAAGAAAAATCGCTGAAGCTTCTGTAAAGTAATTTTTGTTTACGATTAGAGATTTATTTATTTATTTATTTATTATAGAAATAAAAATTAAAGGTATCGTTAAATATTAATCTCGATGAATATGATGAATTTTTAAATCGTAATTTTTTTTTTTTAATATTTATTTTAAATATGTTTATATAGATATAATTTTTATTTGGACTGCATGCAAATGGATGGTATGACCAGGTTGGATGAAGAACAAATAGAAATTATTATTCGTTTGATTCATCTGAATCAAAAATTCAATACAAAATATAAACACAAAAATATAATGGATGTACGTAAAAAGTTTTTTAAATGAAATTTGATATAAAAAGAAAATATTTAAGAATAATTTAAATATTTTTTAATTTTATAATAATGAACATAATAGATTAACATATAAATTTTCTATTAATATAATAATATACCATTGTATTGTATCATAATTGTTTCTATTTTAGTTGATCGATGAAATTTCCTTGGATTATCAACGCACAATGTGTGATCTCATGTGGAGAGAAATGATACAAAAGAATCCAGAAATGTTTAAATTCATCACATGGATACCTGAAGTTGAACCTATGAAAGTGCCGAAAAAAGGCAAATTTGATACGGACATGAAAAACTTTTTGGTAACTGTCCGTTAATAATGCTTCCACGAGAATTTTATATCATTTTATGTTGAATCAATCAATAATTATTCTGAATAAAAATATCTGCACTTTTCACGTTTACTAAAAATAGAAATATAAATAAATGTGAATAAAATTTTATAAATTTATGATAACCTAACTTTTATCGAAATAATAGTTTTAAAAACATTTACTCGGTATATATGTATAAATATCAAAAAAATAATATTTTTATTTAGAAAATTAAAAAATCCACTCACTGGATAACATTATATGTTCACGAAGAAGTATACAATGCAATGAAATGTACTGTAGCAGAATGTAAGCAAGCTGAATCTATGAATTTATTCGCCACTTCATACGGAAAACAAATAAGGTTAAAAGAATTCGAAGATTTGCAAATACAGGCTACTATCACGGTTATTAAATATTTGAAAGAACCATGGTTAGAAAAAATTACACAATCAATAAGAATGTGTCTTCGAGATCTTGGAAAAGGATGGTTTAATCTCGAACAAAAGGATCACAAGGTGTATGATATAATGAAATTGAAACGTTTCATGAATCTCACTAATCTTCGTATGCAGGTAGATACATATACAAGTACAATCAAAATAAACAGTCAATCTAAAATAATATAATATTATTATATTTGCCTTTATAATATTTATATATTTATATTTATTTATAATATAATATATATAATATATTTATAATATATATATATAATTATTATAATATTTATATATATTTCATAGACGTAAAAATTATAGACACAAATATGTTGTTTTATCTTTCTTTTTTAAAAACTGAAAAAAGTTTCTTTTAATTAACTTTTTATGACGATGAAAAAAAGTATAAATAATATAATTTTTCTTTGACTTTTATTTACAAGCTAACTAGCCTGCATAAAATTACAGAAAAATATGTATATGTATATTGCTATTTTTTCTTTCTTCTGTATCTCAAATTTTAAAAAAATATTAAATATCTTCTAAACTATTCACATAAATAAGAAGTAGAAAAAAAAATATATTTTTTTTCTTTTCAAAAAATAAAAAGTTTTATTAAAATTAATTTTCTTTTAAGTAAAATATTCATTTCTAAAAAAATTTCATTAAATATCGTGTTTCTCAAAATTTTTTATTCGATTTCGTTTAATGAAAAATTTTTTTTTATTTCAATCATTTATAGGTCATTTTACAAAGTGTTTTAAATTGTATAAAACAATTCACAAAATTAATAACAATCAATTAACAATCAATTAATAACAATTCACAAAAAAGCACGAATGAAATAAATAATTTTTTTCGTCGATTTTCTTTTATTAATATATACAAGTTAAACCAAAGAGATAAATTGCATTCTTCTTAAGAATTGAATAACTTGTGAATTGAATAACTTATTATATAAAAAAAATTACATTAGGAAGAAAAAAAGGATGAAATCTTCTGGAAAGTGAATAAATTTTGTTAATGATATAATATTCTGTACATATATTATCAGTTTGAACAATTAAAACCAATTTTAATCGACATATATGATAATCGTGTCAACGATGTTACACTCTGCGTTATCTCTTTTACTCACGAAAATGAAATTTTTACTCGAGAGAGCCCGTTTCGAAAGTCGTTGACGCGACGAGATGGAAAATGATGCTTCTATTGACAGTGTTGACACAAATCGCAGCGTAGGTTTGGCTTACGAATATGGCCATATTGAACATTGAGAAAGAAATGTCGTTATTATTAGATATATAACGATTTTATTTTATACAAGTCATATGAAAATATATACAAGATATATTTTCATTATATTTTTTTATATATTATATATTATGAATAAATCGATGCTTGATTAATGTAACTAATAAAGATAAATTTTTCAGGAAATAGATTTTTATTATAGTAGAAAATCGTTAATTATTTCAACATCTAATAATGCAAAGATGCCATTCTTTTATAATTCTAATATCTTGGTTTTAATATTTTGGTTTTAGAAATTTCAAATAAAATATTTCAGTATTTTGAATTATGACATTATTTTTATAATTATCTTAAATAATTCTGTCAGATGAAATACAATATGTATCATTTTTTTATAAAATTTAATAGATACTTTAAACAGTGTGCTTTAGATTTCTTTTAGATAGTGTTTTTTCATGCGTATCTAAATGAAGTCTAAGTGAAGCCTTAGTTTACAAAGATGATATCTATTGTAGCGTAAAAAAAAAAAAAAAAAAAAATAGTAAACAATCGTATTTTTACAAATATTGTTATTTTTTAGAGTTGAATAAATTCCAGTTAAAAAAAAAATAGAAAAATATGGAATATCAAGTGCATTTTACACAATAATTTGTTAACTATATTATTAGTAACTTAAATTAAAAGTTGTAAGATACATTTCACTTTTATACAATTTTATTTATATAATGAAACTAATTATTTATAATCTTTTTATAATTAGTATGCGCTACGAGTTTTGGTGGAAGAATCGATCAAATTCTATAGAAATATTCTGGAAATTCCAGCATTATGTGTCTTAAATATAGACGAATCATTTGTTTGGGGAGATGATCTCATTAATACCCAGTTTAATCCCGCTGGCATGCCTATTTTTCTCCTTGACCTTCAAATGGATGAGCAAAAACCATTTTACTCGACAAATCCTGAGAAATTTCTCGTAAGTGTATTTTCGTTCGTATTAATTAAAAATGAACGATTTTTTTTTATTTATTATTAATTTAAATGGATATATCAATACATTAGTTTTTAATAAAATTTTATGGAATTTCTTTTAAATATTATATTATTATAATATTTTCTCTATTCCTTTAAAAGAGATATATCCATAGATATCTTGATAAATTATTTTAAAGTGAAAAATTTCTCATTCATAAATCTTTCTTCATTTCTTTTTTTTTTTTTCAAGGAAAGTATCATTATTTTATACGATAACGCACTTACTGCGTGTCATCAAATCAGGCAAATACATCCTTTTCTACTTCCGAAGTTAAAATTCCCTGTTCACCTATATCTAAGCTCCGTTGGTCTGCTCGAGGATCAGGTATGCAATGTTCGTGAATCGTTGAAAAAAGCATATAAGAAGTCTGTAATACCTTTAAAAGCTTACGCAAAAGAATTCAGTCGATATCAATTATTCTTCAATCTCAACGTCGCCAAATACATTGAGTGAGTATATTCATAACAAAATTGTTTTAAGTTAAACTTAAAACAATAAAAAATTTATTTGATTTATTTTTATAATAATCAAATAATATATGTTCTTTATCTTTATTTTTATTTATATAAAAATTAAAATTACAGTGAATCGATCAAAATCAATTTAATATGATCATCAGAATCGTTAGATACATGAAAAATAAAATTAATTTTAAATCTTAATTTTTATTTTTATTAAATAAATGTAATAATGAGTATCTTAACTTATAAAACTTTTCTGCCAACATTACCGACTGAATAAATATATGATCGATAGAAATCCACCAGAGGGAATCAGTGAATCAAAACATAGAGATTGATAGATACGTGTTATTACAACTATATCTATCATAGTTTTTTTAATATTTTTAATTTTTTTCAAATACTATATTTTACGTATAAATTTAAATGCATTATATTATTTTCATATATTATTTTCATGTATTTTATTTTCATCATATTATATTCATTAAATTCACAAGAATAAATATTGACAACTCGAAGTTAAAAAATATTCCAACAATAAATTGAATCACCTAAATACAGTAGTAGGCTTAATTAATATTCATATTAAGTAATAGTAATGGTAAAGCTAATATCTGTAATGAATTTTGATTATTTTTATGCTTAATTAAATGCATTTTTATTCTTATTGTCAAACAAAACGCGTCAAATAACCTACGAGGTCAAAAGACGCAGTTGATTTATTTATCGAGATTAAATGAAATTCCATTTTGAAGGGAATACAAGGAAGAAGAACTTACTACGGCCGAGATAAAAGAGGAAATTTCATTTCATATCACGATGAGACAGAATCTCCAAGTTACTTTACCGAATGCTATTACCATTGGTGCGTTTGTAGTGAACGTTTATCCCTTGAAGGAGTTTCTTATAAACAAACGCACTGAATGTGCTAAATCATTGCTCATTATGCTCACGGAAAAAATACGAAAGGAAATTGATAATATCCTAGACGAATATAGGCAGATAAGATACAAATTGAAAGAAGTGCCACAAAGTATCGAGCACATATTCGAAATACGGGATTGGATGGAAACTATACCACTTCGAGTACAGGATCTCGAAGAAAAGATGGACAAATTAAAAATAGATTACGATATTCTCGATAGTTTTCTTTGGAATATATCCGATGATGATTTTCAAGCGAAATGGGAAGTGATTGGATCGCCATTTCAAATTGAGAAAGAGGTAAAATATTTGTTGCAAATTAAAGAGTCAGATTTGATCAAAATTCATTTATTAATAAATTAATTTTTTTGGCATTAAAATATTAGTTGAAAATAATGTTTATCATTTATGAAAATTAGAAATAATAAGATGATAATTGATAAATTAAAATTTTAATTGTTCATTTAAATAGTATTAATTCTTTCGTTATTAAAATTAACTGCCACGAATTTGAAATATTTTAATATAAATCTGCATATGATTTCAAAAATTTCCAATATCTAAAATATATGGTATATTTCAAAAAATATTCTTATATACTCATTTATTCAAAAGTTTTAAATATTAAAATTTCATTTTAACGTCAATTTTTTTAGTCCTTTTAATCTTTTAATTTTTAATCATGTTAATATCCTCTATCAATGTTGCAATATATTTTCATGAGTTACAGCTTTATTTGCTACAATAAATATGTATATTCCATGTGAACGGCATTAGTTATATCGCGTTAAATATTTAAACTGTTTTATTCTTGAAATATGCATATGTCCATAATGAAAAATTTCTTGCCAAAAAATTTTTTTTTTTAATTTGAACGATTTTGTGATACAAACATTTCATATGAAATGGAAAAAAAATTGATAAATTATTTTTTCATAATGATTGACAATAAAATACAATTATATTTTCTATTTACAAACCACTTTTAAACGGTTGCTTTTCTCTTTATTTAGGTCAAATAAGAAGCATCACTAAGTAAGCAAAACCCAATAATTACTTTCCTCGTACTTTGATAAGATTGCTAATTAAATAAAAGAGTTCTGCGAATCCTTTATAATTAAATATTCACTCAAATAATGCAATGCCCATTATTTCTTTTTCATGTTCGGAAAAATACAAAGAAAATTCCGAATTTTACAAAAAAATTATATTTAATTATTAATTAAATTTCAATACTATAATAATAAACAATTTAAATTCCAATTTTTGAATACGTTTACCATATGATAAATATATTTTATCATGTACACATATTAGTAAAATCGAAATTTAATCCCTGTAATAAAATATGTTTAATCGATTTGGTTGACCTAGAATTCAGTTCTCCTTATATCGAACAATAAGGTTAATAATAACAATAAGTAAAAAATAAATAAAAAAAAAGAGCATCGAGTTGTATCGAAAACAAAAATTGATACGTAAGAGTAACGAATAAGACTTAAATTTTAAATTAGAATTTAATTGTAACGGTTTAATTGTAATTTTTCATTAACTTGTGTTAATAAACGCCTGGTAATTAAGCGAGCTAGCGGTCGATCGATTGCATACATACAAGTGCTTCTAGTACAAAAATAAATTGCTTCTCAATTTACATTATTTTTTCAAAAATAATGGAATATTTTAACAACGTGTATAATATGAAATATGTCAAAAATATTTTTGATAAGATAAATAAAATGTGTTACATTATAGCATAAAAATAGCGAATATTTATTAAAAATAAATTTTTAATTGCTATTCTCTGTACAATTTTATATAAAATGGGCTAAAATAACTGTTATCATATATTTTTTCGACCAATTGTATTATAGGATATCATGAGTGTATGTACATATATTTTATGCTTCGCAGGTGATATTGAAAGTCTCGAGAGGTTCATAAAACTACATTTAAAACTCTATATTTCCTGATATGTTTATATAGTATCGTGAAAATTTTTATTTATTTTGAAAATAGAATTCTCTAGTTTCCTTTTTTCCATTATATTTCTATATTTTATAATATTATAAAAAACAAGATTATATAGTTATTTGCAAATTATTATACGAAATAATATAAAAGATACAAAGAAATTTTGAGCTTAGAAATAGAAATAAATAATGTTAATTTATATATATAAATCATTTTTTATTTCAAAATTTATTAAATTTTAAATTAGTAAATATTGTCTCAAGTAACTATTATACTTCTTGTTTCAATTTTAAATTATATTCAAGATTTAACACATCGAAATAATTATCAAAAAATTTAACTAGATTCAGGAGACGAATGAACGATTTGTGGAAGAGCAAGAAAAATTCCATAAAATCCAAATACAGGATGAGATCTTGCTGCTGGAAAAAATAGACACTTTGGTAGGCAATGTGGCAAACATTGCTCTTCAAACGGATGTTACCCGTATCCACGAGATAGCTCTAGATGTAAAACGGATATGGAAGGTTATGCTTGATTGTCGAGAAAATGGTTTATTGCTCAACGAACGACAAAAGTTATTTGGCCTAAAAGTAGTGCCTTTTGAACACCTAAATAAGCTTATAAAGGAATTCGAACCTTACAAAAACTTATGGATCACGGCTTCGGGTAAGCATCCAATTATTTGTCCATTTTTATTTCATTAAATTCATTAAATTTTAAATGGATTTTTTTTAGAAATATAAACTATAGTGATAGAGAATAATTGAATTTAAAATTGAATTGAATTCAAGAAAAATTGAATTCTTTCTCATGAATTGTGTTTTAATATAAATTTAAGATTATACATACATAATGTATATATATACATGTATATTTATATTTATCTTTTGTCTAAAATTTTTAGAATGAGAATTTCTCACAATAGAAGTAAAAGTTGTAATTATATTTTCTATAAAAGTATGAATCAAAGAAAAACTTTAATATTAATTTGAATTTTTTTTTATTCTTCTAAGAATAGAATACAAAAAGTTCAATTTTATTTAAAACAATGGCAATTTGTTAAAAATTATTAAAAGCTAAAACTAGATAATTCTTATAGAGTTAATTTTTTGCTATTTATAGATTGGCTCAAATGGCACGACATATGGATGGATAATCCTTTAATGAACATTGACGGCCTTCAAATTGAAAGTCTTGTTGTCGATATGTATCGGCAAATAACACGAGCAATTAGAACATTCCATGAATTTCCAAGTAATTTAATAATTTGATGATTACCAATGAAAGTTGTTGCGGAATCTCGATTTAAAAATATATATAGTTTGTAAATTGAAATGATGTTAAACTGTTACGTTATATATCATTAATCGTTACAACTTGTACAACTATATAAAAGAAAATTTTAAGAAATGTTAAGAAAATATTTCTTAAATACGTTTATGTGAATCTATTGAATTTATTTAATCAACTTGATGAACAAGCTTTTCCTATATTTTTTTAATACATGTTTTGTTAGAATTTTTTTAATATATGTTTTATAATTAATAAAAAAAAGTTTTGTGATATTTTTTTAAGTTTCATGATATTTTTTAAATAATTTATAACAGATATTTTTAAATAATTTTTTTAATTTAAGAATAATTTTCTTTTTTTCTAAACGCAGAGGTGCAGGCAGTTGCAACTATGATAAGGGATGAAATAGATGAATTCAAACCGTTAATACCTCTGATACAAGCTCTCCGAGAGCCAGGAATGAAGGATCGCCATTTCGAGCAATTGAGCGCGCAAACTGGAATATTAATGGCTCTTAAACCCACCGTAACATTTAAAAGTTTGTTAATTCTCGGTATTAAAGAGTTTGAGGAATTGGTGAAAACGGTCGCCGATACTGCGGCCAAAGAATATGCTACAGAACGAACATTGAATAAAATGATCGAAGAATGGGAAATGGTTATTTTTGAGACTCTTCCATACAAAACTACCGGTAAATACACGTATATCTTTTCATTAAATGAATTTAATCAGTGTTCATTGTTTTTCGTCTAATGAAATACATTTGAATATATATTATATTTCTTTTTTTTTTATTTAATTTTTATTAACTTTTTACTCTAGATAGTAGACAAGTTTTTAAATAAGATCATTTAAAAACTTAGATTATTCAGTAACTAATTATTCAGTTCTTAATTATTATATCATAACTTTTCTAATTTCCTTGCATCAATTTCAAATCAAATAATTTTTTTCACAATTTTTAATCAATCATCGTTGTGATAAGTATAATAAATGTAATTTGAAAATTTTTAAGAAAAAATTACAAGGAAAAATAAAATTATAATATATCATTTGAATCGAAATTTTCCAATCGCAATCTTTGGATAATTTTTTTTTTTTTTGTTAAACAATTCTATGTTTATCTATGCAGGAACGTATATAATAAAAGTCTCGGAGGAAACGTTGATGATGCTGGATCATCATATTCTTAACGTGCAACAGCTTGCATACAGTCCATTGAAGACCGCCTTCGAGGACGAGATCAATGAATGGGAGAGAAAATTAAATTTGACACAAAAAGTTCTTCATCTATGGATAGAAGTACAAAGGTGAGAGAAGAATCATATGGAATGCGATTTGTTTGTATTGATGATAAGAAATTTGGATTATAGAGAATGGATGTATCTGGAACCAATATTTACTTCGGAAGATATTAAAGTTCAATTACCCTTGGAAACAAGGAAATACAACGCCATGGAACGAAACTGGAGACGGATCATGAAAAATGCTTTTGAAAATCCTTACGTAATTTTAATTTTAATATATTCTTTCGTTTGAAACGCTATTGTACAATATGCAATACGATTGAAAATTGAAATATTTGATCAATTATGAATACATATATAACGAATTATTTCATCGTGAAATTTTAATCGTGAAATTCATGATATTAATATAAATAATTAAGCGATTCATCAATTGAATAGGTATTATAGTATAAGATATTTATTTTTATCGTATAAAATATGTAACTGCATATAAATATATTTTCCATAACGACATTCGATAATAAATTAGCAATTTTTCAGATTAAATTAATTATGAATTAAATTGTTCATTCAAAAAATTAGTAAATAACTTCAAGTATATTTAAAAAGTAATTTATTTTTATTTATAAATATAATTGAAAATTATAAAAATTTCTAAAATTTAAATATATAAAAATTAATATATTAATAATATAATATAAATAATATATATAAATAATATAATATATTAATAAATATATATAAATTAAATATATATTAAATATATAATATAATTTTGAAGTACTTGATCTTTAATTCAATCTAATTTAATTTAAAAACATTTTCACAACAGATTATCAATATATCATTACATTACATTACAAATTATCAATTACAGATTATCAAAATATGTCCTGATGAAAGTCTCCTTGAAAGTCTTCAAGAATGTTCAAGTCTCTTGGAAGTAGTACAAAAAGGTTTATCCAATTATCTGGAAATAAAACGAAAGATTTTCCCCCGATTCTATTTCCTCAGCGACGATGAATTATTGGAGATCTTGTCGCATGCAAAGATCGTACAAACGGTACAGCCACATCTCAGAAAGTGTTTCGAGAATATATACAGAGTAAGATTCGAAGAAGATCTGCAAATTACTCGAATGTACTCTGCGGAAGGTGAAGAGGTGATATTTGATCCACCCATGTATCCGGAGAGAAGTGTTGAGTTTTGGCTGGGTGATCTCGAAAGAGTAATGCGTAATACCATTAGAGAGATCATTCGCAAAGCATTAAAAATCATCCATGAAACTCCAAGGAAAGTATGGGTATATATGTGGCCGGGACAAGTGACACTTTGTTGCGGCCAAACTTATTGGGCTGCACAAGTGGAGAATGCGATCAATAAGAAGAAACTTGAAGATTATTATCAGGTGCTACTGGGAAATGTAAGATACTTTTTATTTTAATTTTTTTTTTTTTTTTTTTTGGATTAATATAGGAAATCATGTTTATGGAAATAGACTTTTTTATAATTTATTTTTATTACTTAATTTAATTTTATCTTGATTTAAATTTTCCATTTCATTGTTTCTTGTTATAATAATTCTCTGAGATATAAATGGAATATCATAAGTCAAAAATATTACTTATTAATAGGATTCATAATTGTTCATTTGATGAATGTTATTTATTATAAACATATGACGTTTGTATTAAATGCAAGAGGACAGATTAATAATATATATATGAAACTTTTTTTTATTAATCATTCGCATAATTTCTATTTTTTCAGTAATTAATAATACAGCTTTTGAAAAACTTTGTAGTTATCGTAGATAACATAAATGAGTTGTAATTTCTATTATTTTAAATTCTTTACGTGATAATTATTAAAGTTTTAAATACTTTTTTAATACTTAATAGTGTTATGACTTCGTAATTTTTTATTTCATTTCAATTCTCTTAAAAATAATTATTTTAAATATTGCATAAAAATACAGCCATAAATAATAAATAAAGAAATATATTATGAAAATAAAATCTATCTCTATAACTATTTTGTAATAATATTTTATAATAGTCTCAAAATTAAACTTATATAATGAATTTTATTTTAAAAATTTATATAACTTAATAGAAACTAATTTCTAATTAATTAACATAATTAATTAAAATATGATGAAGTTTGAATTGAAATATTTGAAATTTTACACGTGATTATATAGGATGGGAATATATGAAAATATCTCAATTTAAATTTATTTCAATAGCATTAATATATTTGAAATTGTTTTTATCTTGTATACATATGTTTTTTGTTATAAAATTTCTTTTTATAAGTGAATATAATTTAATATTAAACTGATCATTTTATTAAACTAACAAATAAACATAAATGATTAAATATTATTAATAATATTTAAGTTTCAAATTTTTTTATTAATTTATGTAGTATATTCAAAAAAGTATATAAACAAAAAATAAAATTTATAAAACGAAACAAATTATAATCTTAATTAATCTTAATTATAAGTTTCTATTTCATTGATAGTAATTTTTTATTCTAAACATTTATAAACAATCAAAATATTCTCATTTTTTCGCATTCTAATTATTTATAAAGTATAAAATAATGGAAAATTTATTGTACAGTTAGATGATTTACGTGAATTGGTACGAAATCCTCAAACCGAAATCCAGAGACTAATGCTGGAAGCAGTAATAACGATTGAAGTACACGCGCGAGATGTTCTGTATAAATTAGTAAAAGACAAAGTGACTAACGTAAACGATTTCAATTGGATCTCACAGCTCCGCTATTATTGGGTAGATGATTTAGATTTAAAGATTCGTGCTGTAAATGCGGAATTCCAATATGGGTATGTAAATAATATATATATATATTGGTAATTTTTCGCAAATGATAAATGTACATAAATTTTATGATCAATATTATGTAAAAAGATATCAATTTTTTATTCTTTTCTAATTTCTTTCTTACATATGTATTATACATTATAAATATAAATATTGTATCATATAATAGCATTAACCCAACAATATTAAATATTTAATTACTACATCAATATTTATTAAAGATACGAGTATTTAGGAAATACTGGAAGACTAGTCATTACTCCTCTAACTGATCGATGTTACTTAACCTTAACTGGGGCATTGCACTTGAAGTTCGGTGGTGCACCGGCAGGCCCTGCTGGGACTGGCAAAACGGAAACGACAAAAGATCTTGCTAAAGCATTTGCCATACAATGTGTAGTATTCAATTGTTCCGATCAATTAGATTTCATGTCAATGGGAAAATTCTTCAAAGGTCTTTCAAGGTAACTTCTTTCAGAATTAATATTTTAAATTAAGATTCAATGATAGTTTTAAAAAGTATTTTCGATTTTTTTTTTTTACTTTTCATTCTGTTAATTATTTAACAGTTAAACATATATATGTTTTTATTGAATATTAACAACACTATCTCTCACATGAGAATGACTTTATCAATTATATTATTTATCAATATTTATCAATGAAATATAAATATAGGTAATTTTTTATAAGTATAAAAAAATTATTTAGTTATAATATAAATATAATTCCATTGAAATTTATTAATTGTAAATTTTATTAAATTTCATAATGAAAGTATTAATTTTTTCTTTTAGCAAATTCATAAAAGTTTTCGATTGGTTATTAATGTCAACTTCATTACATTCGTGTAATTAAAATGTAATTTTTCACATTGACAAATATTGCATTTATTAATTATTGTTTACAATCTCAATTATTTTTTATATTTGTTCTTTATATTTTCCATAGTAATTTTTCATATTTTTGATATTAATTCTCGCAGTGCAGGTGCATGGGCGTGCTTTGATGAATTTAATAGGATAGACATTGAAGTATTGTCCGTCATTGCCCAGCAAATTATGACAATCCAGCAAGCGCAACAAATGCGGGTTGATAAGTGAGTATATAAATATGCAAGCAACATTTCGTATATATCAGATTTAAAATTATTTAAATATAAATTCTCAATCTGTGGGTCGCTACTCAAAAGCTCATGAAAGTTCGGAATTATTTTTATTGAAAGATTTTTACATACTCACTTTAATATAATAATATTATTATATTTTACAAGAATATTAAAATTTTCTCGTTACTTAACTCAAAAACAATCGTGTTATTTCAAATGAATCGTATTCATTATTTTTCATTTTATTTAAAAAATTATTTTATATAAAAAAAGAAAGATTATTATAAATTTGAATTATGACTTAAAAAAAAAGATTAGAAAACACTGGTATTAATGTATAAAATGTAACAATGAAATTTCTCAGATTTATCTTCGAAGGAGAAGAAATTGTTTTGAAGCCATCTTGTGCAGTTTTCATTACTATGAATCCTGGTTATGCGGGACGAACGGAATTACCAGACAATTTGAAAGCTCTATTCCGTCCAGTCGCTATGATGGTGCCAGATTATTCATTGATCGCTGAAATTTCATTATTTTCTTATGGTTTCTGCGATGCAAAACCTTTGGCGGGAAAAATAACAACAACATTCAAATTGAGCTCGGAGCAATTAAGTACACAGGTAAAACATATAGATATATACGGCAATCAATTTTATTATTTTATTATTTTATTATTTTTTTTTTTTATAATTTTATTATTTTATTAAGTTTATCTAATTTATAAAAATATAAAAATAGATAATTCTTTAGTTAGTATATTTATTTTTTATTTATAAACAATAAACTTCTATATCTTCTATTTTTTTTCTTTCTTCGAAAATGACGTTTCGTAAAAAAAAAGATTTCATTCTACATTTGTTTATTTTTTTCGTACAAAATTCAAAAAATTTTTGGTTATTAATTGAAGTATAGAGTTATTATTTAGAAATTCGTACAGTTAGAAATTCGCGTTGATTTATTTTTATCCAGGATCATTATGACTTTGGAATGCGAGCGGTAAAAACTGTTATTGCTGTGGCGGGAAATTTGAAAAGAGAACATAAAGAGTTGAACGAACAACAGATTTGTTTACGTGCTCTGAAAGATGTAAACGTTCCAAAATTTTTAAAAGATGATCTTATATTATTCAACGGTAAGTATATTTTTTATGCATTATATTTATTTGCTATATAATTTGAATATTTCTTAAATTAAAAAAATGTATTTTTTAATTATTACAATTTTTTAATTATTATAATTTCTCAAAATTTATTTTTCCTCTTTAATTTATAAACTAATAATTCCATATTATATGTTATGAAAATTAAGTTTACAATAATTCAAAATAAGTATATACCTTCATTTTATTCAGGTATCGTATCCGATCTATTTCCTCTTTTAGAGGAGAAACCAGTGGATTATGGAATTTTGGAAGCAGAAATTCGGGCAACAAGTTTGAGAATGGGTCTGGAAGATGTTGACGGTATATATTTTGCTTTCTTTAATTCTTGTTTTTTTTTTCTTTTGAGTTTCTGAATTAATAAAGAATTATTCTTTTTAATGAATTTTCTGATCCATTTTACAAAATAAATTTCAAAAATAATTTCCGCAGTGAAATATTCATATTTTTTATCTTGTTTTTTTAAATTATTATGTAACAACATAATATTCATACTTTCTCTAAGTTTACGTTATAAACACAAGGGATCTCATTGCAGTAATATTACGTATCAAAAGATTTACTTTTCTGGCTTTATGATCAAATTCATTAAAAGAGATTAAAATTAATTCTACAGTTATATCGAATTTTAAAGAGATTTTATTAAATCTGAATAAATAGAAAAAAAAATATTAATCATTATTCTCTATCAATAAACATTTTTTCTTGCACTACTGTATTATTTTCATTAATATTCATATTTATATTCAATATATTTAAAAATATTGAAATTAATTCTACTTTACGTGGACAGCAATAAATTTTCAAGTGTAGCTTTTGTATAAAAAGAACGTAAATGATTAAAAAATTCAAATATCGAAGTATTTATAAAATATTCCTAATGAATTTTGAAATAAAAAAAATGTATAAAATATATAAAATTTATAACATAATATAAAATATTATAAATAATATATATTTATAGTATAGCATAGATATTTTATGGCTTAGTAATTTTCAAATTTGTGACAATTCGCAAATTGTTTTCTAATTGTTTTCATAAACTCAACAACGATATAATGATTAAAAAAAATACATTTGCCATAAGGGATGTATTCTTTTGAAAAATATATAGTAGTGTAGTAATCTTTTAATGGAATTTTGTTTGGATTTAAAATGTTTCATTAAACTTTACGTCTTTTAATTGCAGAATTTGTGAAAAAAGTTATTCAATTATATGAAACGACAGTGGTAAGACACGGATTAATGCTCGTTGGTCCAACTGCGTCCGGAAAGACAAAGGTAAGTGATTTAAATGATATTAATTGAAGAATTAATTTGAATTAATCCTTGCAAAATACTTTGTGGTATTAAGTACATCATTTATAAATTATAAATTGGCAAATTGAATAAAGAAAAAAATTAAAATGAATATATTTTATATTCTATAAATTTATTATTGTATCATAGAATAATAAAGTATTTTCATAGTTTAACAAAGTAAAATTCTTATCGATTTCAAATATATCTTGTTAATTATAGAACAGTGAAGAATTTATTTTTAAGTAGGTTTAGATAGTACATAAAAAAGTAAAAAATCTATCAGAAACTATCTAATTAAATATTTTTTTATTAAAGATACGATATCAAACGATTATAATAATAATAAGCAATATTTTAAATAAAAAATAATTTGCATAATATTTAATTAACAAAGGTGAATTTTTGATTAAATATTAATTATTTGATTAAATATATATTTATATATATTTATATCTTTTTCTATTCTTTATATAAAGAATATATTTTACTTCTTTTGTTTTTTGATAACAATTTATAATATTTATAATATTTTGCAATCTTTAAAAATACTTCCATTTCTAAAACGCATATACTATATATATATATGCTGCATCACTTGCTACTATTTTTCCTAATGCAATTTTTATCTGTTCTTTAAATTGTGAAGCTCTATTAATTCAATTACGAAAAAAATCCTGTATAACAAATAATATATATCGATTTTTAAAAACACTTCGTTTATTTTAAAAAAAAAACATAATACGTCACAATTTAAAAATCCTTAAAATAATATGCAGTAATTTTTATATGCATTTCCATATATATATTCCGATATATCTCACGCAATTAAGTAACACAATATAACATAATTTAAAAATAAAAGTAGAATTTAATTTTATTTAACTAATTAAAAAAAAGAATATCAATATGTAAATAATTATTTCTCGTATAGATTTATTATATAATAATATATCTGTTAAATAATTATTTTTAAAAATATGAATTTATTTTTTTATTAATAATGAAAGCGAATTGAATTTATAGAAAGAATTTATCTATATAAATCTGGATAAATCTTCAAAATCTTCAATTTTGAAGATTTTGAATTATTTTTTATATTTTAATTGATCATAATTTTTTTTTTGAATTCAAAATTTTTTCCATCACTTATACATTTTTATCATTTTCAGTTTGTAATTGATAAATTCTTTTTGAAGTGTTATAAAATATTCGTGACAAATTCAATGAAATATAAATGTATACATATAGAGGTAGATATATTTAAAAAAATAAATTGGCATGTTAAAATTTTTTTCGCTTTAACAAATTCAATCAATTTTAACAAGTTTGCTAGAATAGAAAAAAAAGATAAGTCATCCATATCAAAATTCTGCTTTAATAACCATTGATCAAATTTTTTTTAAAACAAAATTTTTTTCTTATGATATTTTAATTATATTAATCAAGAGAAAGTTTTTTAAATGGAAAAAATATTTAATAATTCATAATTGATAAAATATTTTATGTTGTAATACATTTCCAAAATCAATTCATAAAAATACGAATTAATATCATATTATTAAAAAAAATTTTTTTTTACCAATTATTATATAATATATTTATTCAATAATATATTTTTATTCAACACAAAAATCTGAAATGATAACTTTTTATTAAATTTTAATGACTTTATGTTATATAAAAATAGAAAAATAGTTGGTTATATATAATTAATTTTTTTCATATTTTAATTAAATTCCACTAAAGATAGAATTTGATCGAATAAATTTGAATTTAGATGGATAATAATAATTTATATAATATATAATAATAATTTTTTCTTAATTAATACAATTGAAATATCGCCAGGAATAATTTTTATCCTAATTGAATAAATATTTATAGTTGACGAAATAAGAGATCATAAACAAAGATCATCAAGTATCAAACACATCAATCAAGTGTCTTAAACAATTATACGATTGATATATTGCATATGGGATAGGATATCGATTTAATCAACGAGTACTAACTGTAAATGAAATATATTGTTTTGTTTTTTAAAATACGACATTGTTATAAATTACATTATGAAATATATATTTTATCACGCTCAATTAATTCAGTAATATTTTTTAATCTACAACACGAAAAAGATTCAATTCTTTAATTTAATTAAACTTACCATCGTATGTTGAAATGATAGGCTTTTATACAATATCAATATCATTAATTTTTTAACGATTCTTTTTGCTTTTCATAAATAAATTGTATGATAGATAATATTTAATAGTTTTTATTTCATGTAAGTTAGAAATGTAATGTTCCATAAAAGTATAGTAAAAAATAACAAAATCTATGATTTTTCAAACATTTAAAATTTTATATTTTAATTATAATTGTAACATTCTAAAAACATCAATTATTCATATTTTCATTAATTCTATTTTAGCAATTGATTTTTATTTTATATTTTTTTCAATGAATCGAATATCCTTATGTTTATTGGAATTTAAGCAATTAATCAGTCCATTGCAAAATAAGGTTAGGTTAGGTTAATATATTTAATCTTCTCGTATTGCTTTATATTTTTCTTGTATCTTATAATTGAATATTTATTAATTTTATATGAATGATCTTTTCATTCCATCATATCTACCAAAAAAAAACAAAAAATTTCAAACACTACAAATAGTAGATATATATAATTTAAGATTTGAATAATAATTAAATTATTCCATGTTTAGTTTTTAAATATCTTATATTTAAAAATATTTGCAGCCTTATATTTAAATTTTACAATTATTGAAATATTTACAATAAAAATTTTTATATTATAATTTCTATAAATTAAATGTATATTATTCTATTTTAAAAAATAGAAATAATTTTTACAATTAAATATAAAAAAATTGTATTATCATTTACATAATTCACATATTAAATAAGAAACTAAAAAGTAAAAGCATAGATTAAAAAATAATAACAAAATTTTTAATTTCGATTTTTCTTATCATAGAGAATTTACATAAGAAATATCCTATACATGCAACATATCGAATAAAAATAAAAAAATTCGATTTCGAATTCGAATTCGATGTCGATATATTTCTCTATATTTATAACAGCAAAGAAATCCAATACTCAAAAAATTTTTTAAAATTGTTACAAATATATAAAATTTTATTAAAATAGATATTGATTTGATGAAAGAAATGATATTTTTTTTATAATAAAATATTTTTAAAATTGTTGCTTTTAAATTATTAAACGATTGATATATTGCACATTTAATTAATCTGGCTTAAAACACCATCGATTAAACACCAAGTTTTATTTTATTTTTGTCGTTATACATTATATTTTCATATCTTATTTATCAAATTTATCGATATTTTGTTAATTATGTTCATAAATATAAAATAAACAATTTATAATTTAAAATAATATAATCCACTAATGAAATATTAAAATAATATTAAATTTTAACAAATTCTTTTACTATAATTTTACATTATATTAAATATTATTGTATTTTAAAATATATTCCAAATATATAAATTTTGTAAAATTTGTTTTCGTTTATAATTTAAAAATTTACAAACATATAATTAATCACTCTTTTTTTAAAAGTAAAAAACCATTAAATTCTTAAAAATGAATTACTTTCATTGTTATTGGTGTGTATTTTATATCGCATTAGTTGTTTTATTATTAATGACAAAAGTACTTTTATTATTCTTGAAGTTTCAATTTTTTTTCATATTTTATTTTTAAACGCAATTTCAAGTACATCGAACAATTAAATATAGACTGAAATTGTAAAAGATAACGTTCATAATAAGAAATAATTCTAACAGTTAATTATTTCTGTATATATTAAAAAATTCTTATTTTTTATTCTCTATATAAATGTAGAAATTAAATTACATATGATAATAATAAGGTCATTACCTATTTGAAAGCGCAATATTCGTGTATTATATATATATATATATTATCGTGCAAAATAGGCAATGATCTTTTATTCACTGACTTTGTTAGAATTTTTTTTTTTAATAAATATCTAAATATAAATATACATAAGTATATTTGTCTTTTATTTATCTAAATCATTACAAATAATCACACATAAAATTTTAGCAACCTTCGACTCATTCATATTATTTATATATATATTATATATTCATTCATATTATACAAAATTTTAAAAGTAGTCTATAATGTGAATAATCTCTCATAATTCTCATTTATACAAATGAAATAAATCTATCCTATTAATCCAACAATCGTCAAGCATTCAGAGATTTGTACTTACTTTATTTTCTTTTCAATTATTTCCTATTTCAATAGCAACATAAAATAATCAAATGGCAATTACCGGAATATGAGATCACTGAATAATACATTGTTCACTGAGTATACATTGAAAGAAACTAACTTAGAGTAAATTGGTTATAATTGTCATATTTCCAGAAACTCTTATTCATAACCTACATACGTTACATACAGTCAGCGTTATAAATGACTGAGACGCGATCTTTTTACATACAAGATATCGTTGGACTAGTATATTTAACCACGTGACTGAAGCGTCATGATAGTCACGTGATACTATTCATATCACGCTTTCTGAAATTGTGATTCTTCTATGATTGCCCAAAAATTATTTCTATAATTTCTATATGTATCGTTGCGGATTGCAATGATATCTGGTCATACTTTTCAATATTTTGCGTAACAATTGCTGTAAACAACGTCGAAACGTAATACCACACATAGCATACAATAGAAAATTGATGCTGAAATTGGTATAGTAAAGAAGCATGAAAAACTGTTGTATACACCAAAGCAGGTCAGGTGTATTTTTGCGGGCGAGCGTGAAGAAGAATACACATAACCGTATAACATAACTGGAAAATAAAAAAAAATATGTAAATTACATAGTTAATAACTGTGAAATTGCAATTACAAGAGTGAGAATTGAAATAAAAGAAATGCATTAAAATCAGGTTAATAGTGATAGAAAAGAGAGCTTCCTTTATTTCTATATATTATACTTCAAAAATACAATAGAGAATTATAAATAGAATAAGAATAATTATATTCCTATATTACTATTTATGTTTCATTCGAATTTTACAATTACAAAAAAATTAGAGATTGTTCGATATGAGCATATTATTTACCTTGGTAAATTGAGAAGAATAAAGACGGTACTGATTAAAAGCAGCATTTTCGTGATGTTTTGTTGATTTCTCGTGGATACAAGGTTTTTCGACGATGACCTAATATCTGTAACACAAAGAGAGAAAAGAAAATGCAAGGAAGACAGCAACAAAACGTTAGTAAAAATTTCTGCAACAATGTTATTTGATATTTAAATAATTTAACTTTCTATTTCACTTTCTATTTCTATACAAGTTGGCAATAATAGTTGAAATTTAAACCAATTCAAGAAGTTTTATCAACAACAATTAAAAGTTAAAAAGTGTTACAACGCGGAGATAACCTATCTTTTTTAGCCTTGACACGAAGGATATCTTTTCTCAATAATGTAACACAGAAATCAAATGAAAATTTTATTTTCATTTTAAATGATATTAATAATTATTGATTTTCCTTCTAATATTATTTAACAAATAAAATTTAAAAATGATAATTTAAAAATTAAAAATTCAATAATTCAAAATTTATATCCATTATTTTCCTATATTTATCGTTCATAGTTCAATTGCAAATTGAAATAATTTAGATTTAAGTAATAAAGTCGCAAATCTATTTAAGTTGAATTTGTTTTATCATAAATTAAATTAAAGTTACATTTAAATATAATTTAAAACACAATATAAACACAATACAAATTTTAAAATTAAAAAAATTAATAAAGGTATATCAATAAAGTCCACATTTGTCAAGAAATTTTCATGAAGAAGAATCAAAAAGTAAATTATAAAAAAAATGAAATACGATTTTAAAACTAGTCAACTAGTAGTTCAATCAATCATTTTTCCGACTGTTCAATAATCGAATCAAGCATTATATCTCTATTAATTTTAACGAACATCTTCTATTTGATGATTATCGAATTAAATTTGAATCTATAACTACATTTAGTACATTAATTAATTAAGTCCGTTTTTAATTTAAATTAATCGTTATATTTTTTTATATTACAATTTTATATTATTTTTTAAAAGAAATGTGAAAAGAAATTGAAGAAATGAGAAAAAAAAGAATAAGTAAATTTAATAAAAAAAGAAATATGAATTCTCTATTGGAAATTATATTAAAACGCAAAAAGAGATTGTGAAAAATAAAAGTATTTTCAGATATTTATATCTCTTTCAAAATCAATTGTTCAATTATATTAATTAATTAACAAATTATTACAAATAACTTCTTCAATTTAACAGAGATAATTACATTTAATCAAGAAATTTATTTGACCAATTGAAATAATACTTTTGTTTATTTGATTATTATTTTATTTATATTAAAATCTCTGCATCAAAATCTTGTATGTAACTAGAATAAAATATTTTTCAATCATAAAATATTTATTTATTCAAATATCATGTGATTATTTATTCATTGAATATATTATTTATTCATATATAAATATTTATTTACTCATTAAATAATAGTTTTAATAAAAATAAAATTTTCATTAGTTTTCATCAGTTTAATCGAACTCTTGTATACAATGTATTTAAACGAAATAAGCAAAAACTTTAAGTGATTCTGGAGATGGAACAGATAAAAAATATGCAAAAAATGTTGAAGTTTATTTTTTAAGTTATAAGCAACTTTTATATTGGATGAAATAAAAGTATCTCTATTTTCATCTTGCTTTATCTAATGGAAAATTGAATTGCTTCTAAAAAGAAATTAAAAATAATTTCAATGAACATTTTTTTCATACGAAGTTCTGTGCTTATTTTAATCTCTAGAATCATCTTTTACATATTCTATCTACCAATTCGGTCGAATACATCCTTTATATACGAAGACTTTTATGAATGATGATATATATGTATACGAATGCTATACGTAGTACATATGTATATTTACGTATACAACGATTCCCTATTTCGGGTAGCTGACAGGCGTTCCTCGGTGTTGATGGCGGTGCGGACGTAGTCTGATGCCGAGAATGATGAGAATGGTTATTCTTCGACGAATGAAACGATTGCTGCGAGGGTGGCCGTCGACCTCCGACCATTGGTCCTAGATTCATGCCACCGGCACCGTTGTTGCTACTGCTACCACTCTAGAAATTGAAAAAGAATCTTTTGTAGAAATTTAATGGTGCCTCTTGAATTGAAAATTCGTCAAAGCTGGAAATAAAACTCGAATTTCAGTACATGTATCAATTATAATCTTGAAACATTAAAAAAAGATATTTATTAAAAACAAAGGTATGTAGGTTGATTAAAATTTTATTTCTTTTTATATTTATAATTTTTTATATTTTNTATATATATATATATATATATATATATATATATATATAGAGAGAGAGAGAGAGAGAGAGAGAGAGAAATATCAAGTAGCTAATTCAATTATACAACGTTACTGACAATAGATAATCTATTGTGAATAAAGATCCACGGGAAGCCAATCATTTTTTCAGCCACAGTATCTTGTCTCAGTCGTTATCAGTATGGTTAGATAGGATACTATCATTTTCCACATGTTACTTATCCAAGGGCTAAATGATACTATTGTATAGAGTGCCTTGTTTATCTTAATCCCTCTAAATGTTCGTACTACAAGTTGATGATATAATAAAAAAAAAAGAACAAGGAACATATTTTAGATTAAGTTAATAAACATCATGAGAAATGAGATATTTTTCTATCTATCTTCAGATGTACTTTCAAAGAAAATTGTTTTGTTAAAGTATTGATTTTCTATTTATTTTCAAATTAATATAATTATTAATCTATCACAAAAATTATTTCTAAATGCATTATTAAATTCATCTTTTGATTGAGTTTTAAAAGAAGTTAATCTAATTGCAAATGATTTATGTAAATAGCAATACAAAATTATGAATATGGATTGTATAAAATCAAAAAGTGAGAAGTCTAAATTGTAAATGAATGAAGTTAGACAAAAAATTTGTTAACATATAAAAAGTATTATGATGTTGGTATATACATCAGTATATATGAAAAATATATTTTTTAAAAAGAAGTATGATATATTTTTTTCTTATATTATTTTCTTATTTTGTATTTGACGGAATTACTATGGAAATTCCATTTAAATTGAAAGAATATTACCTGCGACATCTATACATCATAAATGGTAATCTACTTGAAATGTGAGTTAATACTATTACGCATATTGATATAGGAAAATGTGCAAAGAGCTATCAAAGCTATCACTGATTATTTTTCTCTTTCACAAAATATTTTTAAAGTATCGATTCTGCTGTTGAATATCCTGGCAAAAATTATTCCTGATATATTGCATGAAATAATTAAAAAAAAAAGGGGAGAAAATTAAAAAACAATATCAAAATCAATTTTAATCAATCAATTTTAATCAATCTCATTAATTCAGATAATCTCTTAAGGTCGAATGATACGATGAATAATTCAATATCGCGCAAACTTCAAGGTCCCACAACCGTGAAATGAATAAAATTCAAACATGTTCAAACACTTTTATATCGATGATTCGGCAGATAATTTTTTCTCTCTTCTTTTTCTCTTCTTCTCTTTTCTTTTTTTTTTTTTGTATCAGGTCACGGTCTAACCGAGAAAAAAAGCTTTACGATATCACTTCGAAGATTGGCGAAAAAGCGCTCGTCAAGTGTGAAATCAGGCTTTATGCAGATTTTATGGTAATATCAACTATGAAAGAGCGTATAGGTTATATGTATAGGTGTATAACTAGTTACGCCACTTAAACCAAATTGCATGGTATTAATAATCAAGTGTTGGATGACCCTGTAAACATATATTACTTGAGTAATTTATGATGACGATAAATACTTGCAGATGTAATATTATTAGAAGGAATATATTGAAGTTATAAATTATTAATATTCGTCCAAAGGTACTATTAATATATTATTATGTGCATGACATGTATGTACANATGATGACGATAAATACTTGCAGATGTAATATTATTAGAAGGAATATATTGAAGTTATAAATTATTAATATTCGTCCAAAGGTACTATTAATATATTATTATATGCATGACATGTATTTACATATACTTATGTGAATTAATTATATGTTCATAAGTAGGACACTTTTTTTTTTGAATAAAAAAAAAAAGAAAAAAATCAAACAGACCAAATTTTATTTGGAAAGTGAAAAAATTAAGTATTCTTTTCAAAAAGCAAATAAATACATTTAATTCGAAAGAAACTTAATATCGGAAGCAAAAATAAAAATTTGAATGAAAAGAAAATATAAATAGTCAAGAAATAGTACTACATAAGTGAACTGAGTGTGCGTCGATTTCTGCTTTTTTATCGTGTATTTCACTGCACAAATATCTTTGCAATCAAAAAGCTACACTTAAGTAATCACAGTGCACGTACACATGTTTATAATCATGCTGAGAATACAAGTGGCGCTATCTAGGCGAAATATTTTCATCAACGAATCGACTGTTTCATAATAATACAATCGTGTCATTCCGTACAGACGAGATGATTACTGTTCGAAAGAATATATTGAGCGAATTTTCTCACTGTTTTCTCTTTGATTCGATAACATTATTTGAAGAAACTTGTTTACATTAGAAATCATGATATATTCAAAATGATATATGTGAAAATTTGTTCTATATATTTAAAGAAAAAAAAGAGAACATAAAAAAGTTAAGAAGCCAATTTATATACAAAACTGCGAATATAAAATCATATATTTTTATTCCTAGTTTTTTATTATATATATTTATTTATTATATTTTATATGGAAATAATTTTTTTAAATTTATTTATTAATTTATATTAATTATAATTAAATTTAATCCGACATTGAATAATTATTAAAATTCTACCGCATAAATTGAATTTCAATTTGAATTTTTGTTAGTCAATTGATCAAACTTGTCATTTAATTTTTTACTTAGCTAATTATCAAATTTCTACAGCTTATTCAATTTTTGTATTTCAATTTTATTTTTACAGATTATATGTATCATTTATTTTTATAATTAATTTACGTATAAACTATATTATTAATGTTGTTTTAATATGAAAATTATTATGACTTATAATATTATAATTGTAATATTAAGTATATAAAATTAGATATGTATATAAATATATAATATATAAATATTATATTTAACACATTTACATATAATAAAATATTAGTATTTGCATCATTAAATCTATATTAAAATGATCAGTCTGTTAAATATTACATGATATGAATTGTTATTGATTTGATGTATTTCATGTTTAATAAACTTTCATATCACATCTTTCATTTCTCATGAATATTATTTTATTCATTTCTTTAAACTTAAATATCTCCCAAAATAAAGAAGAAAATGTATGATTTATTTATTATTTATTTATAAAAAAATCTTTTTTCTTGAAAACTAATCTTTTTTTATCTATATTTATCTTTCTTTTTCTGGCATTTTTTTCTTTTCTATTTAATATAACATCAATTCTGTTGCTATATTTCATTTATCAAAAATAATTGATATTCCCTAAAGACAGATTTATAATGTCGTTGACAGGATGGAAAAAAATTATCGACATTGAATTCGAATATCACTGTTGCATTAAAAAAATGAAATTATTTTACAATTCATTCGAGATCATTTCCGCCCCTCTATCCACCCACTATTAATTTATCATATCGAAGACAAAGTAATTTGAAATAATAAATAAAATAATAGATGTGATTTTAATAATATCATAGATAAAATCCTAATTAGATTAGATTAAGAAGAGAATCATTTATTTAACATAATTTTAATTTTAATTTTAATTTTAAATAGTTACAGATTAACTTTTATTAATCCATTAAAATTCCAACTCAAGATAAGATATTACATAGTATTTCATTTTTAATTGTTTTTTTTTTTCAAATATTTAATTGTATCATACTTTTTAATATTATAATTGTAAAAGTGAGGTTATGAAATGAAAACATGTGAAAAAGTAAACAAGCGATAAAAAAACGGACATAAAAAGAAAAGAAGGAAAGGATATAGGAAGATAGGAGAAGAAAGAAATTCCATCAAGATTTGTATATCGATAACTATATTTTAAGATAGTTGTTATAGCATGGTTCGATGTTGGGACAGTAATAGTACATTGACATATGTGAAGAAGTCGAAGATGATGCAAGTTGAATCTGCAAAGATGAATGGTGACGATTACGCAAGCAAGAGATATTTATACAAGAATCAAAAATAGCGATCCGATACCATGGATGGTTACGAGATATGTTATGATGTGAAGAAAAAATGAAAATATCTTGTTTTAAGTTTTATATTTTTAAATGTAAAACTAAAGATAATTATCATTAATAATAATCACAATAAAAACAAAAAGAATTTAAAGATTCTGTTATTTTTATGACTTAGGATTATAATAGAATGTTAATAGAATTATTCTATTATAATAATAGAATTATAATAGAATGTTATAAATATCATAATAGAGTATCAATAATGTTGCATATTGATGTGATCATATCACGTGACCAAATTTATTTCAGATCGATTTTTATGGAAATTTTCAAATAAGGTATTTCACAAAAAATGAAAGATAGCTGTGAAAGATATTTATAAATTATTCTGTTCTATTTAATATTGATGATTTTATTCTATTTTGCATTAAAAATTGGATACAGATAAAAGAATTAAAAATTTAGTTTATTTGTTGTTATAATTACTTTTTTTCATATATTTCAGAAAAACAGATAAAAATATTAAAAATCAGTTCACATTTATTCCAATGGGAAATTTGTTAAAAATATATCTGTGTTTCGAAACATATTTAAATGGAAAATCTTTCATTTCTTTCATATTTGATTTCTTTTTCTTTTTATTTCCATTTAATTGTGCGCTACAATTGGATTTTGAATAAAAATTCAGATTAATAATAAATATTTTTTATCGTCTAATAAAATTAGAATACTATTTTTCCTTTTGATTTATTATTTTATTTCATAATTTCATTTCATTTTCAAAATTTTTCATACAAAATTTTAATTATTATTAATTGTAAAGTTGTAAATCGCATGTATTGACAATAAGCACTTTAATAATACAGAAACATTTTCGATTATAATCTGTAATAATATATATATAAAATTTCGAGGTTAACTTTATCTTTTTTTAAAATTTAATTTTTCATTTTGTAATTGATATATTTTTTTCTCTATATAAACAAATATTATATATAACATATAAAGTATAGGAAATAAAAAAAACAATAAAAAAAACATATGGAATTTATAGTTTTAAGTGAATTAAAATGATTAAAAATTTTTGAAATATAATTGTTTTCGAAAAAAGTTATATATTTATATAAAACATTAAATCTTCGAAATTATGCATTATATCAATTTTTTTCAAATTTTTTATTGTTTCGAAATTATCCAATCAATTATATGAAATGTTTTATATATATGTCGAATTACAAATCCTATAGCGTATACATTGAATAATTTCCAGATACATATAAACTGAAGAGGTATTAACATTTCTCTAGTTGTCATAACTTCATATACAACGTTGTTTTCATTGAATCGTAATATTATAATTCACGAATAATCTGCGTATTTTGCTTTATGATTGAACTTCAAAATAGTTATAATTTATTTTGTTGATTATCAATATAAAATTTTCTCCAATCAAACAATTTAATAGCGAAATGAAATAATGTTTCGTTGATTACGAAGCATTCACAAAATCCAATGTATAATCTATTACCTGTTTATATATTACACGTGTGTACATTAACTATGCAAATTTACTATAGCATAGAATTTTTAGAAGATTCGTGATTCGAAAACTTTGATTACTAGAATTTTCTGCATACCAACGTAAATATTACTTAACCTTTTCATTATGTATCGGATTGCTTAAAAACAAGATTTCTTATAAAAGTCATATACATTCCTATAAAATCATCAAATAATAATAATAAAACAAATAATTAAAAATAATTAAATCGAAATAAAATGATTTTATGAATAATATTGATTTAGAATTTTAAAATATTAACATAGATATTGACTTAGAGAGTTAGAATTAAACATAGAATTAATCTAACACAATGTATTTTGATCTATTTCAAATACATATATATATATGTCAAATACATATAATATGTATTCTTATTTTATTAATTTTATTTCACTTTATAATCATATATCAATAATAGAGAATACAATCTTCAAAACAATAATAACACATTTCTCTTTCTAATAAATGATAAAGATAAATATTGTGTTATTTTTACTTGAAACAAATTGTATGCTTGAACGAATATAAATCAACTTTTATTTGACTATTATTGAACCAGATTAGAAAAAAAAACTTCACATTCGAGGCGTTCTGTTCGAGTTTTCTTTTTTTTAAAAATAATTCAACAGAGAAAATGCCTAAGTGTGCATTTTATGCCTAATGTTTGTTTTGCACACAAGAAAAATAACAGGATAGTCCAGTTACGAGACTGAAGCCCGGTCGATGGTATGCATTGAAAATAGTAACGTCCATTAACTGTCGAATATTTGAACGCGATAGGGCGTCGCTTTTTGCTGCCATGATTCATCGCAATTCATAGCTTAAAATATATATACACATACTATTAAATATTTTAGTTGAAAAAAAATATTATATTGAAATTACGAGTTCTTTCCAAGTTCTTTTAAATATAAAAAAAAAAATTGAATAATTGACATTGATTTCAGTAAGATCATATGAACAAATGATAAAAGTTCACGTATTAATTTTCACTATTAAGAATGTATATATATGTGTAAATATAAATAAATCTAAGCTAATAAATAATTTAACTATGTTACTTCTGATATAATTAATTTAAATTGTAAAAGAATATAAAATAATTTTTCGTTTGTAGTTTGAGATTAAAAGGATATCTATATTTCACTCAGTAAGATAAAATATCAATAAAGATAAAAAAAAAAGATAATGCTAATCAATAAATCTTTTTGTGATTTAAAAAACGATTCACATATGTAAATTTATTGAAGTAAATCATTAGTCTATTTATATTTTTTTTTCTATAAAAAGAAAGGATGAAAACGAATTAACTTTTTCAAAAATCAGAATTTTAAAAAATTATAGATATTAAATACTATGTAAATTTGATATCATCATATCATCATATTATTAAAAAAAAAATTCAAATTCTTTAATACAGAATATCATTAATATGTGAATAATGATATGTTATGAAAGAAAAAATTTAATAAAATTAATTGAATTTGGTTTCCGGCAAATTGCGATTAAATTTTCTGATAAATATGTCATTTATAAATTAAATATATCATTTTATTTTCATCATAAAAATATATATATATAAATATCGGAATTCGATATTTTAATATTATTAACAATTAACCTCTTTGTAAAATTTTAACACACATATATATATATATATATATATATATATATATATATATAAAATTACATGTTTTTCTTAATAAAATAAAATATTAATTTTGCTAAAAAAATTTTCATATTTTTAGTAAAAAAAAAAAAATGTGAAATCAATCATTTTGACGACTATGATATTTCCAGCATTAAATAACATTTACTCACCGGAATTTGATTCAAATTGATGTCGGATCTTTCTCTGCTTGGACAATCTGTAGACGTGCTTGATGTTTGTTTGAACCGTCTGCTAAACCTCAACAAGTTCCTCGTGATCATGGTGTTCATCACAATGATAAGAACCAGTGGCGCGATTAGGCTAGCTATACTGTCGATGATGCTGATTATCTTCATTGTTTCCATGTACTCGACTTTCATATCACAATATTCCTCTCCGTCTTTGTTCATGACCATTCCAGCCGTCACGAATGAGTACGAGTGACTGGCCAATGCTAAAATCACCAACACCAATACGATAGTCTTTGCCCTCGCTATGGTGCATATATGGGGTCTGTGCAGAGGATACTGAACCGCTATAAATCTTTCCACGGTAAATGCAACGATTAACCATACACTAAGAGAACTGCAAACAGCGCTCACGTAGACTAACGTTTCACACCAGCCATCTTTATTGAACACTTTCCATCCTAACGTGTTGTTCAACCAAACTAACAATAATGTAACCAAGAAAGTGAAGTCGGCCGTGGCCAGTGCGGCCAAATAGTAACTGGAACTTCGTATCCTTAGATGTGTGTTTAGGAACACAATGCAAGACAACAGATTGCCTATCAATCCTAGTAATATAATTGAAGGAATGTAGTACTGATGAAAGAAATCTAATAGAAAGTACAAAGAATGACAAGCTTCTATTGCTGTATTATCGAATTTCTCTTCGAGATCTAATCCCGGTTCTATACTTCTGTTTCGAAACCCGTGGTATGTTAAATTGGCCCATACGGTTGGTGACACAGACCGTCTAGAACGTGAAGATACATCCATATTTGAAGATTCTTGCTCGCATCTTGTGTGTAAGTAAAATGTTGACGTGATGGGCAACATGATTTTTTCTTTTTTTTTTTTATTCTTTCTTTAAGTCAATATACACTCGTTTGCTGAAGAAAGTTTCTTGATGAAAGTATTAAAGAAACATTAAATGTTTTCCTTGATTATCAAAATGATCAAAGAAACGTTTATCGTGATACTTGAGAGAATATCTTCCAAGACTCGATTTTGTAATTTTAAAGGAAAATTCAAAAGGACGATTATTGGAAATTATTTATAACTTTCTTTTGCTATATTCTTTCTTCACATAATATGAAATCAGAAGTATCCTTTTTGTCACATTTTTAACTCGTTTGTGTTATTCGAATTTTCGTTATTTCGTAAAAAAAAATTTCTATATTAATAGAATATAAATTTCTTCATTGATTAATCGTCTTTCATTTAAAATATTTGCTATAAGAAAACTAAAACATTTTAAGAAAGTTCTGTTATCGAGTAAACAAAATCTTGAATTCTCTTTTATTAATTATTTATCGTCAGTCTTTATTAGATAGCTGGTGCTGATCTCTCTTTATTGCAATCTTCTGGCTTTTCGAATTCGTATTCAATGATCTGACTTCTGTCCATATTTAAGAAACTTTTTTGTTATGTTATACGAACAACTAATTGCTCTTGCGTGACGAGGTAAATTTAAATAGAAGTTCCGAATCGATGTAGCAGAACGACTTAACTACTCGCCGTCTACACTTTGAAAGCGTATTTCAGTTTTCATTATTTATTATATTTCCGTGAAATTACTTTGACAATTGCAAAGTAATGTCGCTTCGTCAGATTCTCTATGTAATTGCCGATTTAATTCGATTTGAATATTGACAAAAAATTTAAATTGGAAAAAAATTTATTTTATTTTAAATTTATAACGTAATATAATAATAAAATTTTGACATTTAAAAATGTTCTTTTGATGATCACTAGTTCTTTTAGTCTTTAATACTGTTAAATATTTCAGAAACTAAGTCGTTCAGTGTAAATAATAAAGCTTATCAAATGTTTACTTGCAACTGTTTTTCGATATTTCAATTTTAGAATTTATATGATAATTGATCATTGATATGTCCAATGTTTGAATCATTTTAAGCTTCAGATTAAAAAAATTTGAATCTGTTGATATGGATCCGTTTTAACTTTATTACAACCACAATGATTTTGATGATTATAGAAGTTCTTTCGTATTTCTTTTAATATTCAATATTTTTAAATATTTTTTAAATATTTTTTTATATGTTCAAATTTTTCAGAATATTTGTATAAAGACCAATCACTTTGGTCAAAAATATTATATAATAATTTATTTACAAATATTCGTCCACTTCAACAGTGTTGCAGACGTATCGAATTTTCGAATGAATGGCAAGTGTTTACAACTACTCGCTTCCAAATATTTTTTCCGTTATCTGTACTTTAAATTTCTCTGGCAATATCAATAAACATCGAATGTTTCTAACCGCTTGCATAAAAGTAGTAAGATCACTTTGATATTTTCAGATCTCAATTATTCCACATAAACCAATTACGTTTATGTCGATATGTTCAATAAATGCTTCTATTCTTCCCAATTTACGAATAATTACATAGACAGATCTCTTGTTAATATTAAATTTCTTCTATTCGAAAATATTCTCGATATTTCACAATGCTTCGAAATTGGACACGAAATATCTCGAATTGGAATAGAAGGAACACTATAACAACTCCGTTAAAATAAGATCAAATTCTCTAAAATCTCTTGGGCGAAACGAGCAACTGTACCGTATCAATCACGAAAATAGCCTCTTCGAAGATCTTCTATGATATCCTCCAATTCCCTTCGTATAATCGATCTTTGTGCGACCAACGAGTTCTGTCAAATGATCCACGAAACAGTTTCGACGTACTTAATTACCACGAAATAGAGGCCATCTTTATATCATGTCCATTTTAATCGTTTTTCGTTTAACTCGTTAAATTCAAAATTATCCGTGAAATAGCGATCCAAGTACCATCAGTAGGTAAATCTCTGTCGCTCGAAATTTTAGAGAGTTTGATTCATAGTTTTGCCGCTTGTTCGATTACAGAGCCAGGTATCACGGAACGAAGTAACAAATTATCAAGATGCATCGATTCGACTCCTCGTTTCCTTCGAGGATAAACGAGATGGCGGTGTAAGATACCCAAATAGGTTGAATTGGAATGCAGATTGACTTCCTCTTCCATGCGATCTTGAGGATGCCCGAAATAAGGCTTTACCTCAATCGTCACTTGATTTTGAACTCGATCGAAATATTATTGATCCGTATAGATCGTGCGAACTATTTTCGTAAATCTAAACAATCAACATCGATTATGTGTTTATTCAATTCGCTCTATTGAATCGACACGTGAAAATTGAAAAGTTTATAAATATATAACTTTTTTAATTCTTTTTATTCCTTTTTTTACTTCTCTTTAAATTTTTGTTCATTATGTTTTGTATTTACGTACTTTTCCTTTTTTGAAATTTTATTCAAAAATTCTCCTTTCAATTTCGTTCATGTTTTTACTATTAGTTTATTACTAGAATACTTCTAAAAAGAATTATATTTTCTACTAAACAATTATTTTATTATATTATCTTTTATCACTCGTAAAACAGATTATGCAATTGAGAATTATTATTGTATAACTATTGCAATTGAATATTTATTAATATTAGCCATCATTGAATTTCGAATTTATTCGAAATATTTCATTTTTTTTTTCTTGTAAAATTTTTAATAATCAAACTTTTAAGAAATTTCCAGATTTTTTTTTTATCAAATTTTTTTCAACATTTGTTATTTCGTAACAAAAACGCATCTTCTAATTCTCTTCGAAATTATAGTCGATTCACACTCGATCAACAGTCCATCGGAAAAAAATGAATTTTATTTTCGTGTATTACATCGAGGATCCAACGCGTCGTTTGATCTACCAGAGCCACGTTCACCTCTGATCCTGGATCCTTTCATTTTTTTATCCACGATACTCGTGGAATTTTTTCGTAAAGAATCACTGCACTTGAAGTCGGTTGGCCTTGACGGCGTGTAACGTCGTTCTATAAATTTTCAACTTGGTGGCCGGATAAAACGAAGGAAAGGAAAATTTATACGTAAATGAAAGTTCAACGACTCGACCGAATCTCTCGTGGATCACTCCCGATTTTGGACATCTTGTATTGGACGCGTGAATCTTCTACCACTGTTGCTTCTTCGTCTTTTATCCCTGCATGTAAATCTTCGAATAAAGCTAAAATTCTAATTTAAGTCTTTCACTTTTTGTTTAATTATTTATTTATTTATTCAATATCGTTATTATTATTATTTATTAATTTACACATATTGTTTCAGATGGAGAATTTTCATTTAAAGTTCAACGAAACAATCATGAGTCACTCTTGATTATCTTAAAAATCTTACACAAATCTTCTGTCATTCTTCGTTTCATATTTTCTGAATGGTAAACCGGTAAAAAGTTTGAACAAACTTGTATTCACTATTTATTTATTTAAATATTATTACTAATATAATTATATTGTTATTATTAATTGATACAATTATAGAATATATATTTGTTTAAATTATACAATTCAATTTAGTCTTCTTAAATTGGTAAAAATGATAAGAGATGCAATAATCTTTTTTTTTCTTGTTTTATAATTTTGTAATTATTGAATTGTAGATATTGTCAAATTATCGACGATTCGAACGAAGGATATCACGTTTTGAGTGATAGAAGAATACGGGGACGAGAGAAGAATCGGAACGTTACGCGACGAGAAACGACGTCGGATAAACTGGAAACGCAATCCGCGCTTCCGAAGAATTTGCCGCCCGTCTAATTCCTTCGCATGCGCTTTGAACACCTTCCTCGCTCAACGACGCCGGCGTCGACCAGTCGACAAACCGACGCCCGCTCATTTACGCGTCCTCTGGTCTTTCATGTGCCTCTTGCTACCACTTTATCAATCATTTTTCGCACACTAAAGCTTCTTTCACACGGTCTCTTTCAACACTTGTATTACAATATTTGTAGGAATATCGATATACATATATAGGTTAATAAGAATCTTTCAGACAATCGTTATCTGAAAGATTCTATTGAGCTTGTATACGTGATGTTAATGGGACATTTTTGAAAGTGTCAATATCACTATAGATAAAAGTTGCTTGTTTATTGAGATAACCAATTTTTGTATTAGAGTTAAATGAAGCAAGATAGAAAGATGTATAAGGACATTGAAACTTGTAACTTAAGAAATAAGATTTGATTTTTTTTTTTTTTTGGTATTTTTGTAATTTAGAATCGATCCTCCAAGAAAATTCGAATATATTAACATTTCTGTATGCAAATCGACATCCGTCATACAAATATTGCCATGTTAAAAAATGTATAAGGAACAAAATATTAAATTGAGGAAAAAAATATTAAATTATATTTTGAAGAGATAATATTATAATGACAACTAAAAAAATAATTTTTCTCAGTTGTTATATTTTTTAAAATTTTAATGTTCTTTTAAATTTAAGAGCTATTAGAAACAGATTCAATAATCTATAATGCTATGATCTTCATGTGATTTTTGAACTTCATTTCTTTCAAAAATACTCAAAAATGAAAGATGATGCAAAGATGAATTTCTTATTCTTGTTTAAAATTGAAAAAGATATTAATATCTTTATATATCAATCCTTTGTTAAATCTCATCTCATTTTTGAAACTTTAATAAGAGGAACACTTAAGAATTCATCTTTTTCTTTGAAATTCAAGTTTAACTATATATTTATAGATTTATATACTAAATACTAGATTTAAATAAGTTTTTTAGATTTTTAAGTAGATGATTTGCGCAATATAAAAATTCTTTTTATTAAAATTTGATACTAGCTGTAAAAAAATTAATTAAATTATATCAATTATGAAATAATCAACTGTTTTCAATTAAATATATGAGAATACACAATTATCTTTATTAAGTAGCACGCTTAGATAAATTAAATAATAAAATAATGTTTTTTTTAAATATAAAAATAAATGATTAATAAAAAATACACGACAATTATATAAGAAATTTTGTTACATATTAAAATGTTATATTATATATTGAGTTATAATATATATAGATAAATGCAGAATTTTTTTTCTTTCAAAATCTTGAGTCAATTTTAATATAAATATATTTTAATAAAATTTTAATATAATTATACAATATAATCTTGATATTATATTAAATTAAAATAAATAAATAAGTTGATAAATTTATATATAATAATATAATAATAATAATAATAAAATATATATTATAAATGCAAATATAACACGTAATAAAACATAATAAAAATAAAGAAAATTATATTATCTGACAGTGTTATCAAGTTCTGAGGGATGCGTGCACGAAATTAAAAGGACAGCTACAACCAAGTGCCAAACCGTTCGTTCCTGTTCTCACATATGTGCTAAATCCAAAATCGATTACGATGGGTCAGCTATACGGGGAATACGATCTTAATACACGCGAATGGTGAGTGAAATCCCGTGATATTACGGTATCAAGTGGTTTGAGCGTATGAATCAAATGGAATTCTTCTTTTTCAGGATTTATTATGATATATATCATAATATATATTATATCAACTTGAAAAATAAAAATATTATTTTTAGAAATATTAGTAAAGATCATAGTTTATATATATATCAAATAGATTATATCAATTTTTCTAAAATTTAAGAATTAATTTTCAAATTCAAAATACTATTTATTACATAATTAAATATTCATTTAATATTATACTTATATGAACAAATAGTTTTCTTTTTTGTCTTTTCAACTTATTAATTTGTAAAATTTATATAGGTTATCTTATTTAAAATTATATTAAATTCTTATATTTAAAATTCATTTAAATGACTTCAAATTGTCAAAATTTAGAAAAAAATTAATCTCATTAAATATAAAAATGTCTTCAAACTCATTATTCAATTTTTTTTATTGAAATAATTCTTACAAATTTCGATTTTCAAATGAATCGATTTAGGGAAATTTTGTATCTCCGATATGTATATGTATATATATGTACATACATATATACATATATATATGAGATATAATGCATTCTCTATATACTATTTATATGCATTCACAAATCCTCGCACATTTGGAATTTGAATAGTTTATATGAAAACAAAATAATTCTTTTTCGTCCCAGTTTTTACGCACAATGTTTTTACGCGTAATAATAAATAATAAATAATAAATAATAAATCTTATAATATTGAGATAAAAAAGAATCTTTAAATAATTAATAATTATTTAAATAGTTACTTTTTTATATAATTTATTATATATTAACTTCTAAAATAAAGAAAAAGAAATGTATTGAAAAATTTTTAAATTTTTCAATTTTACATAATTACATAAGATTAAGATATGTTTTAGCAGATTTAATATTAAAAATTATTTATAATATTAGTCTTACGTAATATTACGATTTATCATGAAAAATATTGAATGGTTCTTTCATGAAAATATACATATATGACAATATCTATGTGAATATATATGAATATATCTATATGAAATGATTGATTTATTTTAAACAAACACAGAAAAATGGATCCATGCATCACTTTCAATCTTAAATAAATATTTGAAAATTCGAAAAAAAATATTCTCACGTAGAAATCTGGTTAAACAAATTTCAGTTAAAAAATTTTTTCGCATATATACAATACACACAATAGTTTCATGAAAATGTATTTTTATACTAAACCATTATTGTTGATTCTATTTATAGATGTTTTTTATTTCTCTATTTATTTTTTAAAATCTTATGACTGTATTTTCGAATCGTAAATTTCAAATTTTAAATCTCATGAAACGTTATATAAGAAAGATATTATATTTTCCTGGATAATCCTGCAATTTAGCGAATTTTTTGAATTTTAACTATTTGATTTTTTTTTGAAATTATATTTTAATAGTGATATTCTAAAAGTGAAATCAATTGAAGCAATTATAATAATAAATCATTAAATTACCTTTCTTATATTAAATTATATAAATAATGTTAGAAATTTATTTTTCACATAAATATGATTTCACATAAAGTGTAATAAAATATATTAATTTTCGTTCAAAATATGTAAACATAATTTGTAAATTTTTCTTTTTTTCTTTTAGGACTGATGGAATTTTTTCGACGTTACTTAGGACTGGAATAGCTGCAACGGATCAAAACAAGCGTTGGTACGTATTCGATGGACCTGTCGATGCTCTGTGGATCGAGAATATGAATACTGTTCTAGACGATAATAAAAAACTTTGTTTGACATCTGGTGAAATAATGAAAATCCTGCCTACAATGACAATGATGTTTGAAGTCGCTGATTTAAGAGTGGCTTCACCAGCTACTGTTTCAAGGTTAATTTCGAATAACTATAAATTTTTAATTTTTAATTAAGCAACGAATAATTAATATAAATCGTAAGTTTTGATTAATAATCATGTTTTTGCTGATAAAATACATACTATGACAGATACTAATTATATTTTTGATTTATATTATATTTTTATGTATTTTTATTTCTAGGGAAATTAATATAGCGCCATCTGTATTATTATGGTGAATTTTATTTTACAAACGAAGATATTTATTATGCACTTTATATATTTATTTTATATACATGATGTTTCATTTGGTATTATTATTTTAATTTATATCGCTACTTTTAAAAAAATATTTTAGATAAAAGTTGAATGATTTCTAGAAATATTTAGAAGCACATTCTGATATTATTTATTATAAATAGATGTATAGAAAATATTATTTTATATATCGTATATAAATGTTATTTTATATATTTTTTTTTTATTCTAGAAAATTCAATGCATATAATTGTATTATTGATCTATACAATTTGATCCATCTGACAATATGGTCGACTTTTACTACTTGTTGTATGCGACTGTATGATTGATCTATATTACCGAAGTAAATAATGTAATTAATTCTATTTATTCAAAATCCGGATTATATGTCCTGGAATAATATAAGAAATGCGCTTAATTACGCTTTTTATGTCAAAATTCGGATTCGAGTTATTACTTGAAATCGAGATATGTAACCAATTAATCATCATTCGATTCGCATCAATTATTGTGCATTGTGAAAGAAGAAAAATAATCGGAATAAGAAAACTTGTCAAAAATAACTACCAAAGAAATAAAGAAACATTAAAAATAAAAACAAAATCATTTTATGATGAAAATATTTATATACACAAATATTTTATATATAATACAATATATGTATATATATATAATAATTTAATTTATTATTCTCAGATGCGGCATGGTATATATGCAACCGGAAGATTTGGGTCTTGAACCTTTAATTAATTGTTGGATAAAACAATTACCTAAAGTAAGTCCTATGATTAATCAAAATTTTGATAATTTAATTATTAATTCGAAGATTCAAAAGTCAATCAAATATAAGTCAAATTGTCTGATTTATATAGCTCAAGAACTTTTTTATTATTTAAACTTTCACTTGAGAAATCAATCAAATAATTATTTCAATAATTTATTAATGACTTAATTGTCATTAAAAATTTGAACAATAAATTCTTCTAAACTATATAAGAGATTTTCAAGATATGTCTTACACTTTTATTGCTTTGATTAGCTTTTGAACATTCCAATCATAGAGGTAATTTAAATAGAATCTTGTTATTGAATTATTAAAAAACTCAAAAATAGTTATAGGAAACAAAATAATAAAAAAATAAATATATAATTACAGAACATGAGTGCACATATCGAAAGAATTATAGAATTGACGAAGCAATTTTTATTTCCGGGATTGAAGATTTTACGTAGTCGTTTACGGGAAATCGAGACAACCGTTAATTTTGGAATGGTGCAATCTTATATAAACTTGATGAACTTTCGTATTGGTCCCATGGCTGGTCGAGAAGGAAAACCTCCACCATCTGCCCATTTCCAAGAACTAATTCGTAAGAATTGCATTAAATTATTATATTAATTTAAATTTTTAATGAGTAATATCAATGTTGAAAGTGGATATCAATCACGAAAATGGAAATTGAATTGAATACATACTGAAAAGCTATATATGTATATTTATTGTAAAAATTAGATTCTTACCATGATGCAATATTTATAAACTACTACTACTGGCTACGATATAAGTTACATATACTACTACAAATCTCTGCTAACAAAACAATTATTTAAAATGTATGATTTAATATCAAAACTAAGAAAACATATAATTACAGCATTAAAAAGAAAAGAACTGAATTAAAAATGAATTATTAAAAATAAAAAATTTTAAATAAATCATTGATATATAATTAATTTTTAAAACAAGCTGGCTGCTTTTTATTGTCATATTTTATATTAATTTTGTGTCAAATTTTTTTTATCAATTTTAAAAGCACAATCAAAAAAACAACGCATCATTCTAGCTCAATTACTCTCACCTTGGGCATCTTTCGCGATAGTGTGGAGTCTTGGAGCGAGTTGCGATTACAACAGTCGTTGTATATTCAATGATTGGATAAGAAATGTACAAAAGAAACATAAACATGAATTACCATTCCCTGAAGAAGGTTTAGTATATGATTACAGGTAATTATTTTCTTTTTTTTTTTTTGTTTTTTTCTTTTTGTTTCAATGTAAAAAATTCTTTTCTCGTAGATTGCACGACGGTGGTTTCACGGATATAATTGATGGCCCAGAACCAATTCCACCGAAATGGTACAAATGGTTGGACGACATTCCTCCGATGATCATTACACTTGACATGAAATTCGTAGGTGAAAAAAAAAAAAAAAAAAATGATCGAATTACATGAAATTTAAAAAAAATGATTTAATTTTAATGGTTTAATTTTATATTGGAATCGTATCACAGACATGGAAATACCAACAATGAATAGCGTAAGAAACGCAGCCTTAGTAGGTTATCTGTTGATCAATGAATCGAATCCTCTTTGCATTGGGCCAACTGGAAGCGGGAAAACGTTGACAGTAAGCGCCAAACTTATGAGGCAAATGCACAAAAAGTACATATGTGACTTTATTACTTTCTCTGCCAGAACTACCGCAAATCAGACCCAGGTATAAATTAAATTTATTAAATTGTTCAATTATATTTATATTTTATATTTTAATCATGGCTTAAAATATTCTCTAAAAATATTTAGAAAAAATTTTCCGATTATACTTTTATATTTTTTGGTATATACATATATATATGTATCTCTAAAAAGGATTTAGTTGACGAAAAATTGATCAAAAGGCGTAGAAATGTATATGGACCGCCATTACTTCGAAAACAAGTATTTTTCATCGATGATTTGAATATGCCTGCACTTGATACATTTGGAGCTCAGCCTCCACTTGAATTGGTCAGACAATTCATGGATTTTAGTGGTAATTCGTTTTAATTTATTATATTATATATATTTTTTAATTATTCTATGTATTATATTTTTATTAAAAGTTTTAGTTAAATTAAAAATTTAATTAAAAGTTTTTATAATTTTACACATGAAATAAACGAGACTAAGTTAAAAATAAACTAAGTTAAATGCGAAAATAACGGATCGTGTAAAGGAATTAAAAATAGGAGAAAATACTATTTCAGGATGGTACGACCGAAAGGAAATCGGTTTATTCAGGTGGATCGAAGACGTAAATTTTATCGCTGCGATGGGACCGCCTGGTGGCGGTAGAAATCCAGTAACTCCCAGATTGTTGCGACATTTCCATTTCATTGCATTCCCGGAAATGGAGGAAGATGATAAGGTAATTTTTAAACGACGCTCCATCAGTTAACGACCGTAAACTGGAGAACCGGAAGCAATTAAGAAAGAAGACGGAATAATTTATCTTCGTCTGGCTCGAATATGTCAAAATTTCATTCCGTCTATCTCTCGATACTATCACATGCATTTCTATTTCTTCCACCTTAACTTAATTTTTTTAATTATGGAAAAAAAAATTTTAACTTTGAGATTTAATTGCTTGAATGAAATCTAATCAATACCTTGTGCTTCTTTGCGAATTGTAATACAAAAATAAAATTCATGATAAAACAATTTAAATTAAATATGATATTTACAATTCTCAAAAAAAAAAAACTTATCTTGAAATTATCTTGAAATTTATTTCGAGTCAAAGATTATCTGAACATTTAATATTGACATAAGGTTTAATAAATTGTACACTTTCAAGAAAAAGTAAGAAAGCTCGATTTCTGAACCTCGCCTAGGTGTACATAACCTTAAAAAAATGAAGGGGTGGCAGATAACAGCAGGTGACACTCGTTCATTTCCCTTTACGCCGTTTATCCGGTTTTATTCCGTTGAGTCGTCAATACACGCCCACAATGAATAATTATGGTTCGTGAAAGAGACAAAGTATCCGTCGGTGGTTGGTTTTATTTGTTCTCTCCCCCAGACTCAACGCAATTAGGTATCGTAAATCGTTCCAGTGCCTACCCATAATTTATTTCGATCACCAGTTTAGGCTAATAACGAGATCCTATAACACACCTCCAGTAGAATCTGTTTTATCCCTGTTCTTAAAAAGATCAAGGCAAGGTCAAATCAGGCACACGAATATCTAACACTTGTCCAATATATTTATGCAATAATTTTGAAAATATGGAAGATCTTTTATTCTTAGAAACGAAAGAATTATTTTCTTATATTAGTTGAGATGATATAACTTGAATTATTTTTTGCGATTAAATAAAAATTTATTAATATTTTAATCAATTTTAAAGATAAATTAATTATTAAATTATTAATTAATTATTAAAATATTATTAATGGTATTTTTATATTTAGAGACACATTTTCGGGACGATTCTGAAAGCCTGGTTGTCACTCACTCATTTTAAACACATGCTGGATGTTTTTTTAACCACAACATTGAATTTGTATACAATTATATGCAAAGAAATGTTGCCGACACCTCTCAAATCCCATTACACTTTTAATCTTCGTGATCTCAGTAAAGTGTTTCAGGGAATGCTTATGGCGAATCCACAAAAAATAGAGGTTTGTACAAATTATCGCAATAATAAAAAATAAACAAAATAAAAAATATTACATAATATATACATAATAATAACGATCATAAAATAAAATTCTTGAAATATAGATTTTATTCTTGTTTAAAAAACAACTTTACGTAACAACTTTTCTTACATTATAGCATTTGAACAAGTTATTATTACTCTGGTATCACGAAAATGTACGAGTGTACAGCGATCGATTAATAAACGATGAAGACCGAAATTGGTTCGATCATCTCTTGCGAAATATGATGAAAACAGAATTTGAATGTGATCCTAACGAAATTATCGGTGATCAAATAATATTTTTTGGTGATTTCATGGGAGTTACCAAAGAATATGAAGAAATAATCAATCGCAAAAAAGCAAGTATATTATTTAATTTTATTGGAAGTAATTTAAAATTATACGGTAAGATTAATAAGGTTTATAATATTAAATTTTGTATATAATTTTGTATATCGCTATAATATTTAAAAAATACATCATAAAAAGAAGAATTACAAAAAAAAAAGTTATTGCAAAATATTTAATAAGGAATCTCAATGATTCATTTCGTACTTATATTTATAATTCCTGTCTGTTGTTATTAATTGTCGATGCAAATCTTTCTAGATGCAAGAAGTATTAGAAGAATTTCTCGAAGATTACAATGCTGTCTCAATAAGTCCTATGAAGCTAGTACTATTTCAAGATGCCATAGATCACATATGTAGAATAAATCGAATTATACGACAGCCTCGAGGAAATGCTCTTCTCCTAGGAATGGGAGGATCAGGTGTAAAAATATATTTGGAATTAGCGTCCTTTTTCATTCACTCTTATCATCGTTGCTATTGAGAGAATGTAATATTGAAATTTATTTTTTTCTTTGATAAATAAATGAGAACGAAAATTTTTCATAAATATGAAAATAAGAAATTATTTTAAACTCAAATAAACATCTTTTTTAGAAAATTATAAAAATAGTTTTGAAATTTTTTTTGGTATTATTTATATTTTTCCTGGAAAAAATTTCGAAATTTAATTTTCAATTTGTAATTTTCTATTTTTAATTTTTTTATTATTGTTTAATTTTTTTAATATTTGTTTTTAAAATTATATTATTATTCCTATTCAGGAAGACAAAGCTTGACAAGATTAGCTGCACATATACAAGATTTCAATTGCTTTCAAATAGAATTAAGTGGTGTCTATACGGCTCATGACTGGCATGAAGATATAAAAAAATCAATGATGTATGCCGGAGTGCAAAATCAGTTTATTGTCTTCCTATTTTCTGATACACAAGTATGCCTGTTAATTCAATAATTTACTTACAATTTACTTATAATTTATCAATAAAATTCATTTAGATATAATTTGATTTATTTTTATAAAAATATTACCAGTTACATTCGAATATGAAATAAATTACTTAATAAATTACTACGATATACGCTTGAATATCGATTATTTATGAAATCTTTATAATAAAAGCTTAAATATCGATTAATCAAAATATTGTTGTTATTGAGTAATCAAAATCCTAGCTCAAAATTTCCAATTCCAATTTTTATTAAATGAAATACGTATTGAAACGGTATTCACATTTTGCAATGTAAAATGATATTTTTGAATAATTAATATCATTGAACGTTTAACAAACGATGTAATTATATTTCAAACATTTATGTTTCAAACATTAATGAAATAATATCTTCAAATAATATTTGTTTATGAAAATATATCAGTTTTCTAATATTTTTTTTAATTTATTTCTTGTTTCTCAATTTTATTTTTAACAATTTTTTATTTAATCTAAACTAAATTTTCATTATTTTTAAATATTAATTTTTCCATTTTTATTCTTAGATAAAGGACGATTCCATGCTAGAAGATCTGAATAGTGTCTTAAACAATGGTGATGTTCCCAATATCTACAAAGTGGACGAAATGGAAAAGATTTATCACTCTATGCGTGGAGCAGTACAAGAAGCAGGGTTAGCAATTAATAGAAGCAACCTTTTCTCCGCTTACGTGAAGACAGTCCGTAATAATTTACACGTCGTTATTACTATGAGGTAGATATATGAAAAAAATATCTATTCTTGGTATGATAAAAAAAATTAAATGAAATATCCAACAAAACTAAACTCTCCGCTCCGATCTGTTCAAAATTGAAGATATGAAAGATGTCTAATAATCTATGAAATCGTCATATGTGTCTTTGTGCGAGATATATAATATAAGTTTAAATATCGATTAATCAAAATAATAGTTATCGAGTAATCAAAATCCTAGCTCAAAATTTCCAATTTGTGTGAGATATATAATAAGATTGTATATCAAGAAAGTCAAAAAAACGTATATTCTAGAAAATAATATTATAGGAATTAAATAAAAGGTCGATTTGTGGAAAATTGGATAAATTTAAGGTTAGATCGATAAGACGAAGAGATTTACAAATATAAAATTTAAAAAAAAATAATTTTATGAAATAGAAATATTAAAATTTAACATAAGATTATGAGCTTTATGATTTAGTAAATTATTCAGATTTCAAAATTTTTTATATATATTGTACGTTGAAAATATGTAATTAAAGTTGAATCAAAACCTGATGAATCGAAACTTGAATTTAAAAGTTTTACTTATAAACTATCAACAAAAGTTTACTTATAATTTATCATATATTGGTTAAGAGCAAAATTATAAAATCCTCGCAACATCTTTTAAAATCTTATCAATAATCTCATTAAGAGTTGAAAATAAAAGTATTTTTTTAATTTTCAGTCCGATCGGTGAAGTTTTTCGTGCCCGTATCAGACAATTTCCAGCATTAGTAAATTGTTCAACAATTGATTGGTTTTGTCCATGGCCAGAAGCTGCTCTTCAAGTTTGTTATGTTATATTATTTTTTGCGATTTGTGATATATTGAGATCAATAATAAATGGATACGATTTCATTTTAATGATCTGTAGCAATGATCAATTATTATTTTCATAGTAATTAGAGAAAAATAAATAGAATATTTAATTTCTTTGTCTATATTATTATAAATAAAAAAATCAAAAAGTTTTATAATAAAATAGAATAGTTTTTGTAATACAATTAAATTCAATTATAAATCGAAGGAAAAGAATATGAAAACTTTTTGTAACTTATTGTACGATAGAAAAATAAAATTTGGAATGTTCCTTTTATAATGTTCAAAACACATATTTAGTTCATCGTATCGTTCGTTTATATATTTATATGATAAACAATCAAAATTAAGATATACTTATATATATATATATAAAATAATTAAATTTATTGTTTCAGAGTGTTGCAATGACATTTCTCATTGATATACAAGACGAGTCGATTACTGATGATGTGTTGCAATCGATTGTAAAAATGTGTCAATACATGCATTCAAGTGTGATTGAAGCAAGTGATCTCTATTTGAAGGTAAGACAGAATGATAAGATAAAAGAAATAATATTTACAAAGGAACCGAAAAAAAAAAAATTCTTTTGTTTATTATTATTTGTTTATGTACTTCATATCACTATTTATATAATTTTTATGAGATTTTATTTTTTCCGCTGAATGATATGTTATAAAGTCTTCTATTTTTTTATTTTAAATAATAATTGTAATATAATAGTAGATTAGATCAAAACAGTGGGATAAGAATAAAATTGAATTTTTTGTTATTTATAACTTTTAAATAAATATATTTTCCATAATATAAGTAACTTCCATAGATATTTATTTATAAATATTTATTCGATAATATAATTTTTGTTTTCAACGCATAATAATATAATAACATAATTTTAATTTGTCCTATATTATTCCAACATAAATTTGTTCTTTGGAGATTCAAGTTACCTAAGTTCAATTATATATTCCAATATTTTACTTGATATAATCTTACATAAACACATAACCTGAAAATATATGTAGCTAAAGCATCTAAATTACTAAAGGAAATAGAATTCATGGACAAACAATGCAACAAAATTAATTTTCTCTATATATATTTCACAGTAATAATGATCAATTATATTAAAAGAAATCAAATTCAAAACAAATAATTTTATAAATATAAATAATTTTAAATCTCGAGAAATATTATTCTAATTAAATAAATTCTTCTTTGAATAATTTTTTAATTTTCAATAAACTATTTATCTCTTTGATAAACTTTATTATCTTTATAATATTCCATTGAGAACAAAAAAATATTTAAAATCTCATAATGCAACAAATTTTGTTGAGATGGTTGTTAAAAAAAAAAACATTTAATTTTTTATTTTATTCTTAATATTAAATTTTAATACATAGTTTTAATAAGTTTTAATAAGTTTTATGTTAAAAAAATAAATTTAAAATATTCTCATTATTAACTATAAATTTCAATATGCAAATTATTAATGAAATAAATATATATTAATATCAAAATCATTTAAATATAATGTATTGATAATATATTATTTTAAATTTTATTGAAAATATATATAAATGCTATTTCATTCCAATTATCCACATATCATTCTATTATGGTTCTATAATTAAAAAATGATAATTAAAAAATAAAAAATATTGATTTTTAATAAATAAAAATATTTTGTTTGATATTAAATTTTCACTTGTCATTAAATTAAATTTATTATTAATTTGTCATTATTATTTTTTAAAATTAAATTATGCCAAAAATATATAATCTAATTTATTTTATGAAAAATGAAAAAATTTTTTCGTAAAAATATAATACCCGATAATAAATCGATGAATAAAAAAGAAAAAAATTGTGTTCTGTAGGAATTGAATCGTCATAATTATGTTACGCCCACGTCGTACCTTGAATTATTATCCAGTTACGGTAATCTCTTAGAAAAAAAGAAAATGGAATTAATGTCAGCAGCACATCGTCTTACTACAGGTAACGAAAATTTAATTAGATTTTTTATTTTTCATTTTATGAAATGATAAATAATCACCTAATAATAAAAGAAAAAAAAATTTGAATTAAAAATTCATAGAAAACAATAATAGGAAATAATAAAAATTTCATAGAAAAGTTAAAATACACTCTGTATATACATATATACATGGACATGAATATAAATGAATATTGGTTCAAAGAATGTGAAGAATTTTTGACCTTCAAATTAATTTCTGGATAAATAATTTTTATAATTAAGATACAATAAATCTCATTCAACGAATTAAGCTCGAAGATAGAATAAAAGAATTGAAATTGATTAATTTTTAATAGTGAAGAAAAGAAAATTGCTTTTAATCTTCTAAAAGCGTGGAAAAAATAAACTAAACTAAAATTATTTTTCGAGATGGATTTTGAAATTTTAATTCTTAATTTTTTCTTATATCAAAAATTATTTTACACAGTAAAAAATTATTTATTAAAAATAAAAATTAAAATACCATAATTAAATTACTACAAAAATCAATAAAAACAATTTTTAAGTAGTGACAATTAAAATATTTGTAATGATCAAATTTAAATTTTAATGATTTAAATATCACTAAATTATGGAAAACAATTTTTACAGTAAAAAATAATATATAACAAAAAAAAATTTTATCTCTTCCTTCAAAACTATCATACAATTTTTCATTAATTAATTTTTATTAATTTTTTGATTAATTTTCCAATTGTAAATGTTTTGTTGTAGATTAGCTTGTCTTTGAATAAAAATAACATTTTTTTTTTTCATGATTAATCAATTAGGATGGAACTTGAGCCAAGTTATTTAAATTAAATGACATTGTTCAAAATTATGATTGCATTTCCAACAAATTATGATTTACATCACCCATTTCTCGAGAATCTATAACTTTCAAGGTACACTTTATTCATTTCTAAATATATATGTAGATAAATATTCCTTTCTTTTGATTCATCGATCGTGGTTGAAATCATGCCAAATTTTCCATTCATATCAATTATAATCTCTTCTTCTAAATTATAGCAAATTAGCAAATTATATTTGCTGTAATTAATTTCTGAATCGTAAATTTTCGATTCAATTTGTTTCAATTTCAAACTGATGATTCCTTTTCTAGTCAAAATTATTTATCATGAGATAAATATAATAGCTAGTCAATATAGTGAACAAATAATCTCAAAATTCGAAATATATACTTTTAATTGAAAGAAACAGAAGAAAAAAAAATAGAAATTAATACAAAGTAATTGAAATCAAGATAAAAATTGCTTAGAAAAGAAAATCTTATTTGGAAATTTTCCATTTTTGAAATATTTCAACTTCTGGAAAATGTAAAAAAATAAGTATTTAAAGAAAAAAACTTCAAAGTCTTTCTTTTGAGAATTTTCTCAATTTCTTCGTCATCGATATTATTTGCCTCTTATAATTTTTTACTCATTATATCCTCGAGAGCGGAGAAGAAATGTGAAAAAAAAAAGAAACATCAAAGCGAAAATATTAACAGTATATTTTCCATGGGTCAAAGGTAAATGATCCGCGCAGGTAATTTTGAAGACGAATGAATTAAGCAAAACTTGTCTAATAGGAGATTGTAGTACGTGCCAACTCCGTTATTGATTTCTTCTACGCGCGAGTCATAAATGTATTAGCTGCAGAACTAAGAACAGTGGACACTCGATAAATTTATTAGAACCAACCATCGAAAAATTAGTCGATGATCGAAGCAAAATAGGAGCCACTGTTATTTATACTCTCTTCTTAATTAACCTGGTAGATAACCTTTATTAAATTTCATTTAATTATTAGGATATATTTTGATTGAAACTTCAATATTCTCTTGAAGATTAATAACATCTTCTATAAAAAGAATTAACTTTTTAAATAGGAATTCTGTTGATTATAATTTTTAAAGTTTAATCTGACATTTATAAAAGTTACATTAAATTAATAAGAAGATTAATTTTCTATAAAAGAAATTAACTGTTGATTATTCTGTTGATTGCAATTTTTAATTTTAATTTGAATATTTTTTAGGGATAATAATCATATGTGTAATCAATAAACATTGATTTAATCGAAATTATATAATTAATAAATAAATAAAAAAAATTAAAACAAAATTTAAAACTATAAATAGAGGAATAAACTTTTAATTCACATGACGTTATAAAAGATACTAAAAATTTCTGGTATAAAAACTAAATATTGGAACGAGAAAATTATTTATATCTATTATAAAATTTTTTATATTTTTCAATCAAATTATTTTAATCAAATTTATTTATATTATATATAATATAATATATTATTTAATATATAATATATTATATATTATATAATAATATAATAAATTTATTATATTATTTTAATTAAATTCAACATTTTTCTTTTATTATTTTATCTGTTTTCATAATATTAATAACATTTTATTTGTTTAAATTGTGAAATTTTATAATTGTAATTTTCGAAAATATTTCTATTTATAAAATATAATTTTCTACTTTGAAAATTTGATTAAAAATTTTAATTATTTTAATAACATATTTCAAATTGTAAAATTGAATCGCAAATATCTATAACATAAATACGTAACAATTAAATTTTAATAATTAATTTTGATGTAAATTAAATTAATTCATAATTTCCATTATGAATTAATTTTAGTGGAAAAATCAATTCTTGAAAAAAGAATATTTCTATATTTGTATAATATAAATATAGTATTTATATTTATATGATATAAATAATAATAAAATAAATAATTTTAAAACTTGTATTAAATATCATTTAAATATGTTGAAAATGGTAGTTTACTATTACAAGGAAACAAGGAAATATATTTCAACGTAAATTATTATTACAAAACAAGGAAATATATTTCAATGTAAATTATTTCGCAATAAACATTACTATATTAGCGTATAAAGTGAAAAAGTCATGATACTTACAAGATCAAAGATATGTTGAAATTGAATTATTTTCTCCTTCTAATTAAACATTTCTAATTAAATCTTAATTTATCAAGATTTATCAAAATCTTTTGCTATTTTTATGTAAAAAATATTTTATTCAAAAATCAAAAAATATGAAACCAAATAACATTGCATTTTTATTTGATTTTCCTGGTTTTTTTGAAATAAAACAACTATATATTTTTTTCAATTCGCCTTTGACTACATTCCATTTACATGCATATATATCTATATTTTTCGAGGTTATATAGAATACGTTATAGCTAGTAGTATCCAGTTTTCAGTTACAATAGATCATCCTATACACAAGAAAAAAATAACATTTCATTTTTTATTGAAATTTTCCAAATTCATTTCGAATAAAATCATAAAAAATAAAAATAATCGAATACAACTATTAATTTTGAGTCAATAATAATTATTTTTGGAACAAAATAATTTTATTCTATTAAAAATTACATTTTATTAAAATTGTATTTCACTTAAACATTAAAAATTACAAAAATATAATTTTAACATTTTCCTCTTTTTTCTCTTTTTGCATTTCATTGCATTCATCTTTAATTTTTTCATAGGTTTGGACAAATTGGCACACGCGGAAGTAGAAGTAAAGAACATGCAGCAATTATTGGCGGAAATGAAGCCAAAATTGGAAAGAGCAGCAGAGGCAACGGCTAGAATGATCAAAAGAATCACTCTCGACACTGTTGGTATCCTCGATCCTTGAATAAATGCGAAATCAAAATTGAATAAACGCGTTATTAAATAAAATTTATTTATTTAATACAAATTGCAATTCAGTAATTGCATAGAGAAAATTACATAAAATTTAAAAGATTAAAGTTAATGATATTAAAAATGGAGCATTTAAATTTAGCAATGGAAAACAGAATAATCTATATAATACAATTTTAGTTATAAATTCTATTAGATAGAATCACATATTTTTAAACATGTTATCTCTAAATACTTGAATTGTGTGATGGGTGCAAATATAAATTAAAATTGATGAGATGGAGTAAAATAGGAATCGATGAAATTGTTAATAATATAGAATAAAAAAAGAATATTGGCAATTATTCTCAGGATTAGCTTACTCAAAAGTAGAGTTAAGAATAAGATAGAATTTTTCTTTACTAAAAATATAATACTTAAAAATTAATAATCTATTATTTTTATCAACATATGATAAAAATAAATGTATCAATTAAAATGATTTTGTTATACGTAGATTGAGGCAGAAAAGACGAGGGCAGAGGCGAAGATACAAGAAAGTTTAGCGGAAAAAATGAAAGCTGAGAATCAAGCTATTAGGGACGAAGCGGAAGCAGATTTGAGTGGGTTATTGTATTCTTTTATACTTATATTTTTATTGATATAACAAATGGTGGAACGATCGTATATATCTTTTTTATAATCTTTCCTTAAGATTATCAACTATCTAATTTTAATTAAAAAAAAATTGTTTGGAACACATTCTTCTAAATTATTATTAAAGAAACAAAAGAAATCTATATAATTCTTTTCTTTTTTTTTTAAGTCTTTTTTTTTTTTTTTAATATATTTATATATATATGCTTCTATTAATTATCAGATTTGTTTCATTAATTTTTACTTTTTCACAAATTCTCATTTTCATCATAGTATTTATAAATTTCAAATTATTATATTCCAAGTATCTAAGTCAGTGTTATCTATAATAATTTTATTATAACAACTATATTGGATATAATCCTGAAAAGGAAACATTTAATATTTTTTTTTCTTTCTGATCCATGTATTCTTATTTAACCTGTCTATCTTCCATGTCAATGTTAATATATATCTACCATATTGTATAGAAATACCGATGATTATTCCTAATATCTAGAAATATAACGCAATATTAGAGTTCGCAAAAGTTAAATATGATTTGTTTGCAATATATTTCTTATCATCAAATCAAACCTGGACAATAATTCAATTCGTTATTTTAACAAGAAAAGTTAAGATAATTTTGAATAATTTATTATAATAACTTAGAAGTGAAATATGAAATTCCTTGGGAAAAGTTTTTAATAAAATGATGAAATTCGTTCGATTATATATAGAATTTCTCTCTGCAAACTTTTTAATCTATGAATGTTTTATAAAGTTATATTTGAAAGGAATTCTAATCTGAATACGTATAACTAAAATTTTGGAAAAAACTTATTTTTGATAAAGACACGCAGATATAAAATATATGTATATTGATAATTTTTGTATCGTATGAATCATAAAATATCTCTTTTCATTTAATTCATGATATGTTCAAAAGAGATTCCTGCTTCACACAAATGAAACACACAAATAATTATAAAAAATTGGTATCATGAAATTAAATATATATAATAAATTAAAATAAAAATTATAATAAATTAAATAATCATGAAATTTCTAAATAATAAAAAAAAGAAGTATCATCAGCTATACAAAATACAAAAATTATTGTATTCCAAACGGTGTCAGAAAATGAAAAACATTTATCTTATTATCTTTTCTCAATACTTTGTCCTGAAAATTATTTCAAAACGCATTATTTTAATTAATTAATCAATAAGTCTACTATAAAAGTAATCACCGTTATCACAGATGTATTTATCCTGAAATATGTTTACTCTTCAACGCAATACTTTGTGCAACGATCTAATCGATACTCCATTTACCGTAGGTGAAGCTCGTCCTATGTTGATAGCCGCCGAGAAGAGCTTAAAGGCTTTGAATAGGGGCGATGTTACCGAGGTAAAAGCGATGAAAAGGCCTCCTCCCGGTGTGATCTTAGTTATCGAAGCAGTTTGTATTATAAACAACGTGAAACCGCACAAGGTTTGTATATATATTTGTTATATTAAATCGAAGTTACGAGTGGTATTAGATAAGAGTTAGATGAAATTTGGATCGGTTTCATGCTCTGTATAGCATTATTTCTAAGTAATTATTATAAATCTAGGATTTGATAATTCATCGAAAATGATTATAAATAAAAATTCATGATGATTCATCAGGCACTCATCTATGATTAATACAGGTTTTGAGATTTATAAAAATATTTATTTATATATATATTGTATATATATATATACAATGAAGCATTTTTTTACATAAATGAATTTTTTTTAGGTTGAGGTGACAGGAAAATTTGGAGAAAGAGAAACAAAATTGGATTATTGGACCCCTGGTAGCCTGTTACTCGCGGATCCAGGACAATTTTTGTACTCCATGGAGAATTTTGACAAGGAACAACTTACAGAGGAAATAATCAATAAGCTAAAAGTCTATATTGAAGACCCTAACTTCCAGCCAGCTAAGGTTTGTATTTGTTATTTGATATTTTCTTAATTCAAAGTTAAACGATTTCCTATTGTATATCTTCCATTAAGAACATATATTCCATTAAGAACATACATTGTAGGGAAATAAATTGTGTGAATATTGTGATGTTATATTTGTTAATTCAACAATTTTTGTAATCTGTTTGATTATTAAAGAAAAAATATTAAAATCTTTTTAAGATGATCCAAAAAAAAAAAAATTAAAAAACATTAATTAAGGAGCTATTTATTTTTCCAGCTACTAAAATATTAAGTAAAAATTAATTAAAAAATTATTCATTTTCAAAGCATCAAAATTTATTAATCAATTTCTATCCTCATTCTACGAGTGGAAGTCTTTCTTGCAATAAATTAAGGGAACGAAATAATGAAGAAAAAAAATATTCCATAAGAATACTGAATCGCGTATTTATCATATTATTATATATATATATTTATATATTTTATCTAAGAAACGATATCACTCCGTTTCAGATTGAATATGTATCAAAGGCATGCCATTCATTCTGTCTATGGGTGCACGCGATGTACAACTGGTACTTCGTGAATAAAAAAGTGAAACCAAAGATGGAAGCGTTGGCAAAGGCCGAGGAAATACTTCTTGAGACCGAGAGGGCTCTGAGCGCCGCGATCCAAAGGCTGAGAGAAGTGGAGGAAGGTATCGCCCTATTGCGAAAGCATCTTGAAGAGGAAGAGGAAAGAAAAGCCGAACTTGAGAAGCAAAAGCAGCTTTGCGAGGATAGAATGGGAAGAGCTGTCAGACTAATAGTAGGTCTTGCTGGAGAACAGGTACGTTGGGCCTCGACTGTGGTTGAACTTCGCGATTCTGTGAAAAACGCCGTTGGTGACATTCTGCTGGCCTCAGGTACAAATACAGAAAAATAAAAAATAAAATTTCGCTATTTTTTCATTCTACATTACATCTAAAAAGATTATTTTGTTGGCTAAAAACATTCAAAAATTTCAAAAAAATTATATACATTATAATATGATATTATATACATATAATAATAATACATATAATACATATAATAATACATATAATAATATATATAATAATACATATAATAATATGATTCACAGGTGCAATAGCTTATTTGACACCGTTTACGGATATATACCGAGAAAGGCTTTTAGATTCCTGGAAAAAAGTTCTCGGTGAAGGCGTGCCGCATACGCCAGGCAGCGACCCTGTATCGACTCTGGGAGATCAGGTGGAGATAAGAAAATGGCAAATTGAGGGGTTACCTAGAGATATGTTATCCGTGGAAAATGCCGTCTTGGCAATGCATTCGAAACGTTGGCCACTTTTCATAGACCCCCAAGCACAAGCGAACAAATGGATACGTGCTTTAGTAAGCAAATAAAATGCTTACTAAAATATTTTTCTTTATACGAGTCAAAAGTATAGCAGATAAAATAATCTAAATGGTTCTTTAAGATTAATCAAAACAATCAACATCATTTTACGTTATTTTCGATTAACTTTATACAATCTTTTTTTTTTTTTTCATTGTTTCTAATTAATTCAATGATATGCAGTACAAAGAAGAAGGTATATCCATTGCAAGAATGACAGATAAAGAATTGCTTCGTGTAGTCGAGTCATGTGTTCGATTCGGAAGAGCTTGTCTTATTGAGAATATTGGTCTTGAGTTGGAAGCTGGTTTAGATCCAATTTTCTTAAGATCATTATTCGAACACGGTGGTCAATGGTGTGTTAAAGTTGGGGAGGACATTGTTCCTTATAATACAGATTTCCGTCTTTTCCTCACAACGAGACTCGCAAATCCTCATTATACACCAGAAGTATGCGTGAAGATACTATTGGTTAATTTTGCGCTCACCTCAACGTACGTAAATCTTTTTCTTGAAAGTAATATAAAATTTAATGAAATTTAGTGGTTCTTTTCATTCAGTTCTTAGAATCATAAATTTATAAACACGCATTTTTCTGAAATTAATAATTTCTTAATTCAAAGTTATATTTTTTTTTTATTTTTATATACGATTTTAATATTAAATATTTTACATTGATAAAAAATATAAAATATAAAAGTGGTCTCGAGGATCAAATGTTGTCTTTGGTCGCGATTCAAGAACGACCTGATCTTGAGCAAGCGAGAAACGCTTTGATTTTGGCCAATGCTGAAATGAAAAAAGAACTATTGGAAATTGAAGATAGAATTTTATATCGATTGACCGTGTCCGAGGGTTCTGCTGTCGATGACATGGATCTTATTCTCACCTTAGAGGCATCCAAAATTAAAAGTGAAGAAATCAAGGTTTGAAATTCTTAATAAATATCTTATAAATTAAATTTTTGATTTTAACGCATATTAAATTGAATTTAAATTTTTTATGATTTAATATAAATTTAATCTAATTTTAATTTATTTTAATTTATAATCTCATCAAATCAAATTATATATTATATACGTTTACATTTGAATAGCAAATTATATAGATATAATAAAATCTTTGTCTACAGTTTTCAGAGATATAGATAGTTTATTAGATATAGATAGTTCTTTAAATGTTTAAATGTTAAATGTCTTTTTTATACAATCTTTTTTTCTTATATTCTCTTAGCTTTAATCTATTATTTAAATTAATGTAGTTTTATTTTACGATCAAATAAGTAAATAAATAATATTATAAAAAAAATAAAATTATAAAAATTTTATTTATTTATAAAATCGTCCATTTTATATTTAACAAACAAATAAAATAATCATTATTATTTTCCAAAATCTGCATTTTATAAAAATTCGATCGATCCGCTCTCTAGCGGCCAATAAACAAATTTATCATGGTATGTAACATATAGGTAAAAATGAAAGAAGCCGAGATCACTCAAGCAGACATCGACATGACCAGATCGCTCTACATTCCCGTGGCAGTTCAGGGACGAATTCTATACTTTTGTCTGTCCGATCTGCAATATATCGACACTATGTATCAGTACTCGCTTGAATGGTTCGTCGAGATCTTCAACAATAGCATACTTGCAACAGAAAAGAGCGGTTCGTGAAATATCCTGTTCACTAATTACTTGCCTGTATTTATTAGCCTATATGCGATAGGAAACATCATAATCAATTATTTGCCAAATAAACTAAACATTTCACTCTTTAGAGGAATAATTATACCCAATACAAAACGTATAATATATGCAATTGCATTAAATTAATTATTTAACACTCATATTCATAATCTATATATTGCATATAATCTACATATATTTATTCGATCTGTTATTAATTCAAAAATTATAATATTTTATATCAATATCTTATATGTAATTTATGAAAGATGAATCGCATTTATTTTTTATTCTTAGTTTCAGTTTAAAAAATAATTTTAATCTTTTACAGTCCATAATTATTTAATATAAATAAATATGAATAAATAATAAAAAATAATAATTTTATTAAGATCCATCTTATAATGTATCTAATCTGAATAAGCAAACATTCTAAAATAAAATCTATGTATAATCACATTGGAAATAGAATTGCAAAGGATTAATGTTCTAGAATAAAAATTTAACGAAAAAAAAAATTTTACATGGTTCATTTCAGTTATACAGAAACAATTATTCATTTGTATTCTATGAATAAATATGGAGATGAAAGTACTATGATTAATTAGCGAATGATATTGTTTAGGAGATATCCAGGAACGAGTGACCAATATCAATCACAAATTCATGTTCTCGTTGTTCTCGAACGTATGCCGTAGTTTATTTGAAAAACACAAGCTCCATTTTGCGTTCCTCGTCTGTGCCAGAATTCGTATGAATGATGAATTAATTGATGCGATCGAATGGAGGCATCTTTTATCCGGACCTATACCCATAACAGTGAGAATTATAATGAGTTTAATGAATTATGAAAGTGAAATTTAAAAGCTTCTTTTCAATTCTTTTTCTCGATTCATTTCGTTTTATTTTTTTTATTATTTAGCTTTGACCCAATTCGTTTTATATGTAAATTCGAATCCTATAAAAAATCGTGCTGAAAATTAATTAAGTTCCAAAAAAATTGAATAATAATAATCCAATTTATAAAAAAATTAATATTAAATTATCTAATTTTAATAATAATTAATTAATCATTTATATATTTTTATATGGCTTATGTTTATAACAAATAAATTTCAATTATTTTAAAAATGTGGTAATATAAAAATGATATGCAAATATTTTAATTTAATTATTAAAATTATAAAATTTCGTAGGAGGTTCCAAATCCGGCGCCTGAATGGATTACTCCACGTTGTTGGAAGGAGATCCAGGCACTCGATGAACTAGAAAATTTCAAGGATTTCGTGAAATTCTTTATAAGGAATGTGTCTCAATTCAAAAAAGTGTTCGATGAACAAGAAGCGCATTTGTGAGTATGCATGTTCCATATGTCATTGAAAATCATAAAAGATTTAGTAATCAAAAAAAAAAATCTAGATTAATTTTTAAAAGTTATTTACAATTAGATTAATTTAATAATTTAACACGATGAAATTTAATTTAAATTAAATATACTTATTTTAATTCTTTATTTATCCAGAACTCCTTATCCAGAGCCATGGCAATCGAAACTTGATGATTTTCAAAAAATGTTAATATTAAAATGTCTTCGACCCGATAAAGTGACAAATGCGATGCAATTGTACTTAGCCAAGTATTTAGGTCAAGAATTTATTGAGCCCCAAACTGCAGAATTGTCAGCAATTTATGGTGAATCTTCTCCAACTACGCCTATAGTTTTCATCTTGTCTCCTGGTACAGATCCTGCAGCAGAATTATACAAATTCGCGGATAAATTAAAAATGACCATGAAATTGCATGCCATCTCGCTTGGACAGGGTCAAGGACCCAGAGCAGAAGCTATGTTGAAGTTATCCGCAGAAGGCGGTTATTGGTGTTTCTTCCAGGTACATATATATATATATATTTTCATATATATTTTCTCTATAAGAGATCATTTGAAAAGATTATTATATAATTAATTGTATAAAATATTGTATATGGAATTATCTGTCATAATGTTATAAAATTAAAAAAAATAAAAAAATAAAATAAAAATAAAAATATTCTCGAGCAATTTTCGAGAGTTTTTTTAATAGTTATCTTATGTGTATTATTGTAAGTTATTTGAATATTATAAGAAAAGCAAGATTAGAAAACGCTAATCTAATACTTATATTTATATATACAATATTCAACTATAATGGAATTTGATAATTTGAACTATAAATCATTGCCAATATTGATTTAATGAATATATTCCTGTTTTAAGAAAAGAAAAAGACTTCTCCCTAAAGTGATAAAATACAGGATAAGGAAAAGGGGAAAATATGGGCTTTATCTTTCCTAAATATATGTAAAAGAGGAAGCGGAACCAATGGAAAATGATTTATTATATAATGGGGTGAATTGGATGAAAATATAGTTGCGGTTTGATAAAGAAATAAAGATATGAAAAGATGTAATTTGACTAAAAAATTTGACTAAAAATGAGAAAGAATCAAATTTGAAATTCTTTTTTCTTCTTTTTTTATTATATTTATCGATTTTATTGAACAATAACTCATTAATGGAAATATTTGTCGAATAAAAAATAAGAAGTATTTATTAAAAAAATTAATATTGCAATTAATACAAAAATTTGAAAGAAATTATCGAATTTACTATATTTATTATATTTACTATATTTACTGTATTTTACTATATTTTATTATTGTATATAATAAAATAATAATTAATATATTATTATTTTTTTAATTTAACATTACTATTAAATTATAAATAAATATAAATTGATATTCTTTTGAACAAATAGATTCCAAATAGAATATAGTTTCTATTGAAAAAGTTAATTCTTTTATTGATCTTATGAATTGTAAGTGGAAATAAGAAATATAGAATAACATTTAATTACACAATGATAAAAAAAACAGAATAATGATATAACAATGAAGAAGAAATTCTGCGGTAATCACAATTTTTTTCTTTTGAATATAGATTTGAAAAATTTGTTTTCATCTGTTTATTATTTTTTGAAAATACAATAAATTTAATAAAAAAAATAAATTTAAGACTGATAAATAGAAGATAATTTTAATGAAGATATAATTTTTTAATTTCAGTTTTTAATTAAAATAATTTTATCAAAAACATAATTTTTAATAAAATACAAAACTATATCTTAAAAATTAATATAAAATCAAGAAAATAAATTAAAAATATATATGTAATTATAATTACTTAGATCATAAATATAATTAAAATAAATATTAAATTTTTCATCAAATTTTTAATCAAATTTTAAAATAAATATATTTTCATAGAATTGTCATTTGGCTCCAAGTTGGATGCCAGAATTAGATTTGTTGGTTGAAGCATTAACACGGCAAACTAATCATCGTGATTTCCGTTTATGGCTAACATCCGCACCATCCCCTGATTTTCCTGTCAGTATTCTTCAAAACAGCAGTAAAATGACGATCGAACCTCCCAGAGGAGTAAAAGTAAAAGAATCATCTTATTTGAAATTCAAAGCTTTATTTTTTACTCATTATTTTTTACTATACTTTTTATATCTAAATATTTTTTTTCAAATCTTACACTTTCTCAATATATTACATAGAATTATATACATTTGTCCAACTTTTCATTTTTTTTAAATAAACTTAAATTCTTATTTATAATAGGAAATATTTTTGAAATAAGAAAATATTTTATTTTTGTTCACAGGCAAATATGTTTCGTGCGTATTTAGCTCAAGTAGCAGAAATGCGTATCTTCCTTGCATCCGAACATCCTAAAGTTCAGCAATTTAAGTGGTTGGTGTTTTCTTTATGCTTGTTTCATTCTGTGTTATTGGAACGAAGAAAATTTGGCTCATTGGGATTTAACATAGCGTACGAATTCACTGATGGTGATTTAAGAATATGTATATCACAGTTGCACATGTTTCTTTTAGAATATGATGTTATTCCATTCAGGGTAAAAATCATTCAGTAAAAAAAAAAAAAAAATGCATTTTATCTTTTATTACTTTATTACTTTATAAGTAATAAAAAAAACTTGTAATATTCATTTGCATGCAGGTACTCATATACACAGCTGGTCACATCAATTATGGTGGTCGAATAACAGATGATTGGGATCGTCGATGTGTGCTAACCATATTGAAAGATTTCTACAGAACAGAAATTCTATCACCGACACATAAATTTGATGTAGAAGGGTATTATGCTCAAGTGCGTATAAATAAAATAAAAGTTAAATTAATATTATCAATCGCTAATGGCCTTAAAAGCAATGATTTTCAACTTGTAACACTTTATTTTAGTAGTTATTCAGAATAGAATCATATATATAATGTTGAAAATAAATGTTTAAACAATAAAATTTAATTCGCATATATATTGTTACAAATCATTCATATATTATCCAATTACTACTAGTTGAGAATTATTAGCTTGAAGTTTTATTCATACAACATGTAGAATACATATTGCATATATATTAAAGATTATCGTTGGAATAAATATATTAAAGAAAAAATATATTAAAAAAAATATATTAATATATAAATATATTAAATATAATAAATATATTTAAATATATTATAAATATATTAAAAATATATATCAATAAATATATTATTGAATCAAATGAATAATCAGTATATATAATTAACGACACTTTACGTTTTTTTTACAATTATATTTTTACATACAGTTAACTGATGCAACGTTCGAAGAGTATATCGAATATATAAAAACCTTTCCACTAAATGATGATCCTGCGTTATTCGGAATGCATCCGAACGCGGATATTAGCTTCGCTCAAGCTGAAACATATGCATGTCTGAACACGTTACTCGCTCTTCAGCCACGAGAAGTTGGAATTGCAGCTGCAAGTATCGAAGAAGTCACGTTTCAATTAGCCTCTGAGATGTTGTCGACAATGCCTCCTCTCTTTAATATATCTGCTATACATCAAAAGTATTAAAAACATTATCTTCGATGTAAAAAAAAATAACGAAACATTTAAGAAATTAAAATATATTGAAAATATATTTTAGATATCCGGTTTTATACGAAGAATCATTTAATACCGTACTCATTCAAGAAGCTATACGCTATAATGGTTTACTGAATGTGGTAAAGTCGACGCTAGAAGATCTATTGAAAGCTTTAAAAGGATTCGTCGTTATGTCAGAATACTTAGAAACTGTATCGAAGAGTTTGTATAACAATAGAATTCCAACAGTTTGGCAAGATAAGGGATATCCCTCTTTGAAACCTCTTGGTAATCTTTCTAATTTATAACTGAATTTGAATTTATTACAATGTATACAATAGCATTCGTGTATATCTTAATGCTATTATCTAATGCTATTATTAATAGTTATCAATTTAAAGAATTGAAATTTTTGTTTAATTTAAAATCAAAATTATATTAAATATTATTTATGTAAGTTTAAATTTGTTACTAATAATCATATATAAATTCAACTTATTTTTATTTTCCAAATTCATTTTTTTTTTTTGAATTTTGAATTTCTTTCACTTTTCAATTTTCAAATAAATTATATTTATTAATTTGAAAAATGTAGGTGCTTGGTTTCTGGATTTGAAAGATCGAATTGAATTTTTAAAATCTTGGGAAAATTATGGAATACCGGCAGCTTTTTGGATTTCTGGTTTCTATTTTCCGCAAGCATTTTTAACAGGCACTTTACAAAACTTCGCACGAAAATACGTTGTTTCCATCGATGCAATTGATTTTAGTTTTCAAGTAATTTTAACTAATAATTATCTGATATTTAATAATTAAACTATTCAAAATTGATAAATTATTTAAAATATTATTAAATATTATTATTATAAAATATAAAAGTATAATATATAATTATGTAGAAAAATAATATGTATAAATATGAATAAAAATATATATAAATATAAATAGAAAAATAATATATATATACATATGAAATTATTTTTAATTTTAGGTACAAAGTAAAATGCCAAAACAAAGACCGCCAGATGGTTGCATTATTTATGGTCTTTTTCTCGAAGGGTGCCGATGGGATGGAAATTATTTGAACGAATCTTTCCCTAAAGAATTATATACTAGTATATATACATATATATATTATAACATTATGAAAACTATAAATTTTTTTTTTCATTTTTTCAGCATATTTTATTATTTTTTATCTATATATTTTATTTATTATATAATAATATATTATATAATAATAATATTATATAAGTACATAATATAAGTACATAAATTTTTAAAGTATCTATTATTGCTACTAAGAATTGTTGCCTTTATTTAATATTTTTTATATTTTTCTCATGTTTTTTTTAATTTTTTTATATTTTTATATTTTAGAGAGATTTATAAAATGATAACTTAAATGATAATTTAAAGAATGTTGTTAATTACTATTATCATTTATATATTACATATTTCATATTGCATATTGCGATTATATATCGATTACAATACAATTATAAAAATATACAAAATCAAGAAATATTTTTGTATCATTTTATGTTGATATTTCATAATTTATAAAATAATAATAAAAATTTAAATTATAGATAGATATGAATTAATATAAAAAATAATTTTTATTATTAAATATCTTAAGTATAAATCCAAACATATATTTTATTTTTTTTTTAATCATATTTTATGTTTCATTAAATATCAATTATTTTGTATTTTAATTTAATTTCAAATAATTATATATATATAAATAATTATTATATAAATACTTTTTTTTAGATATGCCTCCAATTCTATTATTGCCGGAAGTACATCATAAAGAACCCGAAGGAATCTATGTTTGTCCCGTGTATAAAACTATCAACCGAGCAGGAGTGTTAAGTACAACTGGACATTCGACAAATTTTGTATTACCGATGGAGATTCCTAGTAAACAACCACAAGCTCATTGGATCAAAAGAGGTGTAGCTCTAATTTGCGCACTGGATTATTAACAATATTTTGACATTTATTTTACTCAATCCTTATTTTGTTTATTTAATTTAAAATGAAAATATTATTAAAAAATATTTTAAAACATATTAAGTGAATTTTACTTTATATAAATAGTAGAAAATCTTTCTATTAAATCCTTAATAAATTGAAATTGCGGAAACATTTTCATTAAATTTTGATATTAAAATAATTTTAATTAAAACAATATTTAATTTTTTTTTTAAATTTCATATACTTTATTTTTGAAATAAAATTAATAAATATATAATTGCGAAATAATAATGTCATAAATTATAAATAATTAATTTATAATAGTATTCGAACAAGAAAACGAAAACAAAATATTTTTCTTTTCAAACTTCATTTATGTTCCACAATATTATTTCATTTTGACTTTATTTTTATTGATTTTAATAATTCAGAACTATTTCTTTTTAAAAAATTTTTTAATCTATTAAAAATTTTTAATCTCAATCTAAAATATTTTTGAATATACTTTTTATTTTAACTTTGATTTAATTAATTAAAATTAAGTAAGTACAATTTAAATAACAATGCAATAGAATGAAAACATAAATAATTATTTCTCCATTGTAATCTTCAAAATTATTGTGTTATTTTATAAATATAAATTTGGATCTTTTCTTTTTGATCTTCTATGTTCTTCCGGGCACCATTTCATTAACCAAAATGTCAGTAGAAATGCTATCAAAATTTAATCAAAAGATCAAATTATTATGTTAAAAATAAAATAAAACTATATATTTTTAACATAAAATTTTCTAATATATAGAAATAAATATATAGAAATTAAATATTTTCTTAACTCTGATCATAATAATTTAATGTACAATTAATTGCATAAATATTAGTATAAATATAATTAAGGAAATAAAGTATTTAAAAACATATAGTTATAACCTGAATAGAATATTCATATATATTAATCTTTTCACATATGCAGAATAGAATATCTTGCAATGATATCTTGTTGTACAATGATAAGTGATATCGCGATATATCAAAAAATACGAACAAAAATTAATTTAAAAAATGTCTATATTATTTATTTATGCTATTTATTAGATATTAAATATTATATCTTAAAGAGCAAATTTTTTTTCATTATTTGTTTTAATTATGAATGATAGTTATAATTATTATAAATTATATCCTATTATTGTAAAATTTAAATATGATTGAAATATTGTACAAATGATATTACTATAAGATATTAATATATATAACATTTATCTCATTATAAATGATGAAATTAACAAATTTAAAAATAATGAAAGTAACAAAATTAGTAAAAATTTATATAATTTAGTAATTATATAAATTTAGTAATAATATAAATTAATTTATATATAGAAGAGTTTACCTGGTGCCATTGGCAAAGAAGTATAAAATGAGCGTATCAAAAAATTTTGTAAACCAGGAAATATAAATTTTGCCCAAACTCTTTGATCTGATGAAGCTAACGTGTAATAAACGATTTTTCGTATTCGAACCGGTAATTGTCCAAATTCTAAAGTCATGTGTGTATATTAATCTCTCAGCTCTTCAAAAGAAACAAGAAAATTAAAAATTGTGAAAACAATAGACGGAAACATATCAATTTTTGATATTCATTTTAATTATATGTATATATATATAGTATATATATTTTTAAATAAATAAATATATATATATAATATTTAGCATGTATATATATATATATACATAGAATTTAGCATGGATATATATATATATATACTATATATATTATATAAGTGTATAATATACTATGTATATTATAAATGTAAAAAATAAATATCGGATAGAAACATATTTAAATATATTAAATGCTTAAATGAATGTATTATATATTAGTAAAAAGCATTTTTTGTCTATTTACAATGTTAAATATATTTATTTTTTAATAAAATATATAAACAACGTTTTATCAATAAACATACTAGAAATGAAAACACTCAAAATACATATATCGAAATATGTATATACAATATAAAAATCATCTTATTGTTATAATTAAATTAATTTTCAAATTTGTTTTTAAACTTAAATATTATCTATAGGCATATGTTCTAATATTTTCGGTGGAACAACGAATTTATCTGGATTTTGTTCTAACAAGCATCCTAAAAGGCGTGGTACTGACAAAATTGTGCCGGATATCACAGAAGGGAAGCTTTGTCCATCTGGTATCTGATATATAATTAGCAATCTTTTGCTGAAATATTCACCATATGTAGATATATGACCAACTTCTATATATTGTTTTGAAAATGGAGACCATAATTCAAATGATACACGCATTGCTTCCCAAGGTCGTAATTCTGAAGCAGGCCTCATAACAATTTGATAATGATCACATACATTATCATATAATTTACATGCAATATTTAATAATTTTTCAAATTGCGTACTATATTCTTCACTCTTTCCATCTTTGACTAATATAAAAGCAATTGCAACTGAAGCTTGACAAACAGTAAACAAACCAATTGGATTAGATCCTGATCGAAAAGGAGTGTATTGTCTACCAGTTGAAAAATATGCTACTGGAAAATGATTTGGATTTATTAGTTGCTTTGCATGCATTGCCAAAAATGAAATTAAACTTGCACCTCCTACAAGATGCATACGATTAGGAGAATCTTCATTTTCTTCGCTATGATTGCTTATTACAAAAGCATCTGTAGGATCTTCGTGATTCAAACCAGAGCCATCTATTACCAAACTTCGACTGAAGTCTGCACCTGCTACTCTAATCATATTATTTGCATTAAATATTTTTCCAGCATAATTTAATACCCCAAGTTCAAAAAGAGCTGCATCATTGCATAAATAATATTGCATAGGATTTTTATATTCCAATAAACCAAGACGTCTTCCAATTTCAATGTGATTTTTTTTTTCTGAATTTGGATGTTCTTTCAAAGAATTAACACGTTTTAATATAACAGGACCTTGAATTGGTGTCCTTCCATCTACTTCATTTGGTAATTGAAATAATTTTTCCAAAATACTTTCATTTAAATCTTTAAGAGCATTTTTTATCTTATTTAGATCATGTTTTAATGCTTTAATTTGTATTTTTAACTTTGCAATTTCTGTTTGTTCTTCTACAGTTAAATTTTCCTTTTTATATAATAAATTTAATTTATTTGATATTTTTTCATTTTTTGATTGTAATTTACATTTATCTGCATTTACTGATTTATAAAATTCCCACATACTTTTAATTTCTTTAACATTCAAATTTATTCCTCTAGCTATAAGATCTTTCTGTACTCTATCAACATCTATTAATTTCTCATCTAAATCTATATATGGTTTTAAAAATGAAAAATATTCTTTGCCTTTAACACTTGAAACAAGTAATGCAGAAGAATATTGTCTGCTAGAGTGCATTAATGTACTAATATATTTAATAGAATTATGTTTTAAACTACTAGAATATATACATTTCTGTATAAAATGTAATATATAATTTGTCATTTTCATTTATAAAATTTGACAATTTTTATAATTTACTAATATATAAATTTTTTAGAATAAAGATTATATTTCTTAAGAGAATTATTTTATACATCCACTTTAGCTATTTTAACTTGTGATGAAGTTTCTGGTTCAACATCCATATTATAGTTAGTGTAATTTATAGTCTCAATTTTCCTTTTTTGTGGAATAATATAGCTTCCTTTGCCAGCTGCTCTTTCTGATTCCTCAATAGAATATGGTTCTAATTCAAGAGCTTTTAATCTGCGTTTATGTACTTTTGTTGTAAAATGATCTTGTAAAGCAGTGTCATTTATAAAATACCTCCTACAAACAAAAATAAATTGTTTCCAATTTATAAGAATATTTATAATGTTGAATGAAAAAAATATTTAGATATATAATATAAAAATATTCAAATATAAAAACGATTATAGATGCAAAAAATAATTAAGAAATTATTAAATTTAAATTAGAAATATAATAAAATAATGAAACATGTTAAAAGGTTATATCACGTAATATATTACTATCAAATATAAATACTTACGCGCAATGAATACAATAATATTGACCTGCTCCTGGTTTATCTAAATCTACTTCTTGATTTAGTAGATTCTTTATATTTTTGTCTTTCAAATCCTCATCAATCTAAAATAAAGAATATCGTATAACAATTGCCAATCATATGTACCCACGTGATTCATATGGTTTTAAATAAAAATTAGGTTATATTATACCTCATCTAAATCTTTTGTTCTTCTTTTAGTTCGCCAACCTTTTTTCAAATGTGTATCACCTCTATGATATTTTTTACGTTTGTAAGTCATTTTCAAAAAATATTTATATCATGCAATTGAATATTACCATCATTACAATCACATAAGCAATATACTTGTTTAACAAAATAAAGAGAATTGAACATATGTACACATTATTACATTAAAAGAAACTAGTTCATTTTATCTAAAAATAAATAATAAATAATAAGTTATTTATGAAATACAATAATTTATTTATATATAATAATTCATTAATAATTTTTATTTTATTTATGAAAAGCAATAAAATATAATAAAATTTGAATAATAAAAATGTAATTTTTGGTTCTTTTTCATAGAAATCAGCTATCATTTTTTAAATATATTAAAATAATGTTGAATTTCACATTCATATGTACATTATATATATTTATTAATACTTAATTTATTTTATATAAAAACTAAAAAAAAAAAATATATATCATTAATATGATACTTTATGATAGTTATACAATTATTGAAGAATTTTTAACATTGCTATTGGTCAAATAACGTTATGGCGGTTTCGTTTTTATGAGAATTCATAAGATTATAATAATAATAAAGTTTTCAGTAATATTATTATTTATAAAGTGTTATAAATTATATTATAATTCAATAATATCTTCCTGTGATATTAGTAATTATTTCAAATAATGCTTTGAAAAATCAACAGAATTATAAATAATCGAATTTTTGTAAAATAGAATTATATACATATTCAAATAAATTTAATAATAAATGAACATGATATTAGAAACAATAAATATACAAATTATTTAAATAAATTCAAAAAATGTAATTTAATATTTACTATTGAAGATCTAATGTAAATGTGTAGAAGCATTTTGACTTCAAAAAAACAAAATAAGATTAAAAAGAAAATATATTCATAAAAGGGCATGCGCAGTATAGTAAAAAGCTTTTACTTCGAAATTAGTGTAACGCACTGGTTGTACCGATAGATGTCAGTATAACATCTCAGAGTAGGTCGCGCCTCTATCGGTGAAGCCTATGATCAATTCAAACGGTGCGCCACTGACGAGGGGGGTCCACACCATTTTGAAAGTAAAAATACTGCGCGACCCGGGATTTTGTTTGTACGGTTCGGCGAGGGTAAAAAAGCGGCGAGGGCTAGGCTGTGGTATGGTCGGGGTAACGCGGTGTCGCTTGTAAAATGACGTAGAGTGTGCGAGGGTGTGCCGCGTGCGGTACGAGGTGTGTTAGCGGAAACGGTGTCGCGGTGTGTAGGGTCGGCGCTGGCCGTAGCTATCGTAGCGTACGGGAAATTGGCTGTGGCTTCGCCAATGGATGCCAGGCAGGAGGAGACGCCATTTTGATATACGGGCGCACGTCAAGCGTTCGCTCGTAGGGAAACGCGGTCTCGAGTCGGTCTGCCGCTTCGCGTAGGACTGCGCGGGTGAATTCGTTGGTTCGCGAGGTTCACGAGTATCGTTAATACGAGTGCGTGGCGCAACGGATTCGTTGCGTTTCGTTGACAAGTGACAGGTGAATCGATCGGGCCGCGAGGAAAGTCGCGTTGCGGCCCCGTGCCCGTAACACGGTTCGCTCGGTTGATCGGTAGTGACTACTGTGTGTGGAACTACGTGTACATTCGGATTTTTCCCCACGCGGGCGAGTTCAGTGCGAGGGACACGGTAGCTCGTGTATATTGGTGCGCTGATCCGGGGTGGCGGTGTACGGCAGGGAAAAGCCGCTGTCTCGTTTCGCGCGCGCGAGAGAGGCCACCGGCCGACACTTCGGGCCAGGACAAGACGACCCGATGTCGGGAGCGGGTCGCGACCCCGTGTCGACCCGTGGTCGTCCTCGTCTTCGCATATCCATCTCTTTCATAGCACCAGGACATTCCTGGCGTAAATGTGCTCTCATGAGTGCCCATGTGCACCTTTCTTTCTGTCTGCTGCCCCTACGTGCCCTGTAAACCCAGAGCACACCCCGATTAGCACGCCCACGCACTCTATCACTCGCGAATATGGCCAAGATCCTCAACAAGGACCCCGTCACCTACGAAAGGGAGAGGGAAAACTTCCTGAAGGATCTCCGTCACTTCCATGAGACTAGAGGGTAAGACAATTTCGTTCATTTTCTTTCAAACCAATCTTCCATTATTTACTTCAATCTCACTATTATCATCGATATTCTTTTTGTATATTTTCATTTGCATCGACTATTTTATACTTTATTCATTAAAATTCCATCGCTATAAAAGAATTCTTATCACAATGGTTTGCAAGTAAATCAGGTTAATAAATTAGCGTTGTCTACCTAGAATATGAATAGATTTGAGGTTATGTACGTTTAGTTTAAAGTTTCTCAGAGACTCGCCTTTGTGCAAGTTATTTGTTTACGCGTGTTCCATGTTTTCTTTATCAATGATTATCGGTCGCGTATCTTATTGCGATTGAGGTTACATTCAATTAAAATGGATAATATTATGATCAACTTGATTTTTTTTGTAAGAATTTATTATTTGATCTTACAAACATTGTAAATGAAAATGTATTTCTTTTTGTATGATAGTTAAATTTGAACATTAATTAAAACTATTTTAGAATATATCGAGTAATTGCAAATCATTTCACACAAAAATGCCGCTTATTTATTACATCATTGTTCATATTTTATTAATTTTAGAAACAGAAACAAAGTTTTCTCAATTATACTAAGCGATCTTAACCTTAGCAACAAATATATTGTAATGTATCTATTGTGTATATTTGAAGAATAAGTTTGAAGATTTAATTCATTTAATTTTATGTATCTTTTATTTTTGATTAATCTTTTTGATAAATTTTCAAATATATTTTAACATATCATTATTAATTTTATTTTTCAATGTTATTTAATATAATGTCATTTATGAATTGTATTTTTTGCATTATAATCTGTAATTTTAAGAAACAAAAAATAAGAAACAAAATTTAATTGAATAATATTTTATTTTATATATTATAAATATACAATTATTTATATGAAAAAATAAATCAATTTTTTTATTCATTAATAAATAAAAAAGCTATACATTAATAACAATTTGCTTCGATAAATCTTATTCAATATTTGTAAAATAGTTATATCAATCTGATTTTTTTGTTAATTCATTTTATATACATTTTATGAATCATATATTTTATATTTTTTAGGACTCCCTTCAAAAAAAATCCGAAAATCAATGGAAAAGATATAGATCTGTACTTGCTGTATGTTGTCGTTACTGCTCATGGCGGATGGATAAAGGTAAGTCCATATTTAAATATTTTTTTTCTTTTCATTTTTTATTATTATTATTTATTTATTTATTTATTTTCCAATGTATTAAATATAAAAATACGTAATTTATAATGAATTATGAAATGTTAAAGTTATATGTAATTTAAAAAGCAAAATTTAGTATGAACAATATTATCTGTGTTTTTGTTTCTTTATTATTTAATTTCTTTATCAGTACAATATGTGAATAATTTTAATATATCGTAATTACTGTTTAAGTATGAATTTATTTTATATATTTTTCTATATTAAAATCGTGTAATGAAACGTAATCTGTAAAAGTTTATTTTTACATATATTATGTCAATTATAAATTTGAATAATTTACAAAGAATAAATATATTATTTTAAAGACTTGCAATATCTATTTTTTAAAAATAATGCAAATAAAATTTCTTCTATGCTATCATCTGCCATTATTTAATAATGAAATTGCAATACTATTATTTTTTATGTTTTAATAATATATAATAAAATAAATAAAACTTTTATATAATATTATATTAATTTATATATATATTAATACAAGAATATTCATTTTTAAAAAAAATTTGAAAAAATAGTATTTATTTTAATTACTATTCCTGTATATAGTTTTAAATTATTTTTATTATAGATCATTATCAATATAAATGTGCATTTATGTAAGATATATCTAAGAAAATTATATCAATGTGCTTTGAACAAAGATAACAAGAATAATGAGACATATCTTTTTCTCGTTTTATATTACGTAATAGAAAAGAAGATAAACTAATTTTATATTTTAATACATCATTTATATTAATATTAATTTATGCTTTGAGCATATTGAATATCTGAATCTGGAAAAAAATTCACATATTGCACATAATCTAATCTCTCTATTATAAAAAATTTGCTGTTTAACTAATTTAGTTAATTCAACTTAATTCGAATATACTCAAATTAAAATTTAGAAAAAATGATCAAATCTCTCAGATCATTTTCGTCGCATTTCATGTTTCTAAGTTACACAGGATATCGTTCGGCCGATCAGATGCTCGATTCGGTTCTGCGCATCGAAATCGCTTCGGTTCGTTTACTCGGTTCGAATTTCGAACACGCGAGTGTCCCAAGCATTTGCGCACGCTCCTAGGCGTAAGAAAGATGCATGGATGCATGTTCTTTGTAATGAAAACTTTCCAAATTGAATAATAATATAAATAAACATTAAGGAAGAATTAAAATATCATCTAAGATAAACATAATTTATTGTATTTTAATATTAATTATAATGAATCTTCAAATATAGACATTCTTATATATGACAACAATGATCAATTAGTAGAATTTTATTTTAATGTAAAATGTGATATAATATAATAGCTAGAGAATTATAATAGCTTTTTTTCTTTACAAATTTTACTTTAAATTGTACTCTGTAACTGCATTCTATTATTAAAAAAATATTTGGAATTTTTTGGATTGAGAAACTTTTTCTTGCTGTGAGCAAATATGCGAGCTTCGATCCATCACGTATGATTAACGGTCGAGGAATGCATCGCGGAAACGCGGGAAAACGATTGTTCTGCGAAATGGATACACTTATTCTTCGATCGAGTTCTTCGAAAACGATATTCAATCATAACATATAAACATCATCATAACATATAAAATTGATAATATTTATAATAATGTTTTCATTAAAATGCAAAATAATATAAATAATTTTAATATAAATTAGAGATATAAGTTTAATTTAATTTTTAATATAAATCATTTACATTTATATTTTTTCTCATAGAAGATATTATACATATATTTTTCATGATTAAGTAAAAATAATTAATAGAAAACGTAATCTCGATTTCCAACTATTAATAATATTTGTCGAGAGAAGAGTCAAAATAAAATATCGTTTTATTTTATCAACGATGATGTGTTGTACATTTATATAGCTTTTATATAGCTGTTTGTCAAATTTTCAAACAATAATTTGCACGTTATACATTATTATTCATGCATATGTATTGATACGCACGAAGAATTATAATCGATGAATTTTTTAAAAAACAATGAGAATGAATCATATTTTAATATTTTCTACTTTTTAACAAATATAAATCTTATATATGTGATATAAAATTTTTTTTTATTATTATATAGGCAAGAATTTATTTCGATATGAAATTTTATGTTAAAGTAAATTTAAATTTATTTCTTCTTATGAATATTTCATTTAACATTCGAAACTAATTTGTAAAGTTTGTATAGTGATTCAAGTCTTTCAATGAAATAATTGGTCGTTCATTTGATTCACGTAGTAATTTTTGATTCGTCTAACGTAACGAGGTCTCTTTGCACTGTGATGAGTAACAAAGCGATTGAAATGATTTAAACGTGGTATCCTTGGCTCTCTGTTACTATTGCTAAATCGGTTTAGGAATAGAATATGTTAAAATGAACAAAATTTTATATTTGGCTATCGAAGACTTATAAATTTTTTTATTTCATAATGTTTCAGAAAAGATGTGATCTATGTTTAGCAAAAACATAGAACATTTAATGTATAATATTCAAAATTAACATTAGAACTTTGAAACGTGTGTCTTATTAAAATTACAATTTTTGCTGATTGCTTACATCATTCTTCCGCCGTTTTTTTCATTATATTCAAAATATATTTATCTATTTTATAATACTTAGTCTATCCTTTAAAATAATTTATTATAAACGTGATTTTTGTATTCAAACAAGCTAAATGTTTATTTTTATATTTTTCACTAAAAAAGAAATTAAGGATATTTTCTTACAACATGAAAGAAATGTACGCTTTTAAATAAAAAAAATTATAAATATATAGCTGTCTGTAAAAATGATTTAATATATTAAATCCAAATATTTATTATTAAAATATTCATGAAATATTTCATGAAATATTTTTAATAATGATTTTTTTGCAACAAATATAAGTGTTATTATTAATTGATGAGAATTTAATATTTTATTATATATTATATTTTTTTGTATGTTCATTATAAAATATTTTATTAATTTAATTGCATCAAATTTTTGAATATCTATTTCTTTAATATATGAACACATTGATTTGTTTTTTCTTAAGAATAGATTCAATAGTATATACACATAAATATTGTATATATTTCTGTAGCTGTGCGGTATAGCATAGTAAAGTTTTCACCCTTTTTTTTCTTGTATTCGATAGCATTTTAATGTATTATCTGCCAATATATGTTCTTTTTTAAATATAATTTATACTTTTTATATATTTATTTTTTGTTTTTGCTTAAATAATTTACTAAAATTTTTTTTTTGTTATTAGAATATTAGATAAATTTCTCAATTTTTTATAATTTGAAAATTATAACTTTAAAAAATTTATAATTTATATATTGTTGAATATTTATATTTTTACATATTATATATTTACATATTATATTTGTATATTTTTCAAAGAAATTGAATTTTTCTTATTTTCTGAATATTTTAAAATTCTTTAAATCATAATTCTCTCTTATAAAATTCTCCATCTCTTGATTTTCATTTTCACACGATATCTTTTACCGTTTCATGGTGATTGATCGCTATTACAACAATGATTAACATACACATAAAAAAAAGAACAATCTAACTGCAAAAATTTGTTAATTCGCATTTATAAACGATGACAAAAGCATCTTTCTATTTCAAAACATTCTATTAAGTCTTGTATATTATAAATTTCCAAATTTTTGTAATGTTCCATTAACTGTTTTTCTATGCTCAATTTATTACAAAATCGTGACTGTAGAGACTATTGATCATACATCGATTGATTGAACCGTTTATAGTCGATGATTTTAAGAAAACGAAAAAAGTTCATGTACAAGATATATGTTAAAATTGTTTGATAATTCGACGATTTCGCCGAAAATCCATGCATAGGGACAATACGGAAGTTGACGTAAGGTCAGGGTCACTTGCAGAGAGGCACAGTTCAGGGTGGGAGATAGATCATGAACCGAAGGTGGGAAGAAGGTGCATGGCAGAAGGGCGGGGAGGGGGAAAAGAGAGCAGTGGAATGAGGAAGAGGGGGTGTGAGTAGAGAATGAGAGAGAGAGAGAATATCATATGAGGAGGTGGAGATGGAGGTGCGGTATACGAGGGCTTCCCCTCAACAAGTGATCGAAGTTCGCTAGACTATATAACCTGCGGCCGGGTCGCGACTATGCTCAGAATGCATCGCGGAGCGTGGATCTGTGATTCGAACGAGTTGACGCCATTTTTTTTGTCGCGCGCCAATGGTGCTATTCAGGCAACTTTGTTACATACATTTTTAAAAGCAAGATGATGAAAAATATTCTTCACGAGATAAAAAAAAGTTATTGACGCGTTTTGTGTGAAGTATTAGACGCTTGGATAGTTATTTGTAATAAATTAAGCAAAATATTTTAACATTTATCATTTGAAAAAATTTATGTGATGAGAAAGAATAATAATAAGTATTAAGATATATTTTGTGTATATTAATGTTACTAATAATGAAAATATATATGATAACTTATTTATTTAATAAATTTGAATAAAAAATAAAAATTGTGGATTTTTAGACAATAAAATCTGTGTTGAGTTAAAATCGTTCAAAATAATTCAAGATTAAGTATTTTGAAATCAAAATTTAAAAATTTTTAATAAATTCTTCTAAACGATTAGTAAATTCAAGTAATGAGTTCGATTAATATGATGAAGTACATAATCTATAAGAAGTATAGGACATTTTTTGCAATAACTTTTTATAAAAGTCGATTATGGAAATTAACTCGATTTTCCTACCGTACGTGTAAATATTGTTGTTCTCTATCTGCTAACACATTATGTATTTATTCTAAATATATTTTTATTACATTTAACTTAATATTGTAATAATTATGTGAATATAAATTTATCTATATTATATAATTTGAATAAATGTAATATATTAAAACATACATACATAAGATATTAAT